TCTTCTTCTTCTCCTCCATCACCGGCGCCTCGCCTTCGCCGGAGGGATTCACCGCAGGTTGTATCACCAAAGCCTTACCTTGGCCCGAAGGATCCATGCCCAGAGCTTTGCCTTCCTCGGATGGATTCATTGCCGAAGGATCCATCACCGGAGGAGGGAAGGTTCGTCGGCGCTGGAGTTATGCCCCTTTGCACTCGTCGATCCCGAATTCTTGACTAGAACGAAATAGACTGCTTCAACATATATACCTACCCAACTGAGTCGGGATCGGAATCGCTTCTCAAGTAGTCGGGCTCGATATTACGTACTACTACTGTATATCGGAATTTGAATACGCATCCGAGGCCGCCATCTTCCTTCGGCTTCCTGTTCCGGGTAGTGGATCGCGTTTGGGCGGCCATCTGGCCCATTAACACGTTTGTGAAGCCTGTTTTCTGATTTCTCCTTTGGTCGGACCCTCCGTTTTTTAATATAATATAAAATGGTGACGTTGACTTTTGGATGCTTAATGTTATTCAAAAGTTTTGTGTAAATGCATGAGATATAAATCAAACGTGATAAAACAACTCAAAACAAAACTAAATTATAATTACGTTTTATTTAATAAGACGATATAATCAAATGTGTATAAAAAATCAGTGACGTCTCCCGGTCAAAAAAAAATCAGTGACGTCATTCTACTAAAGATTGAAAGTAATACTCCCTCCATTCCAAATTGATCTACATATAGTTTTTTTGGAGGTTATTCATAAATGATCTACATATTTGTGTTCATTCATTAAGTCTATTCGTTATTTGTGCATTGGAGTAAATGGACATTGATGTATGCATTCATGCACACAAGTATTTATAACCCACATGCAATAACTTGATTTGCTATTGGCTAAGAGATAGTGGGGATGGTGCATGCATCGAGTTTGTTGCTAGAGTAAATATAGTATGAGAGAGTTATTAGTTTTTCTTGATCTTGGTGTACCTATGAAATATGTAGATCAATTTGGAATGGAGGGAGTATATTTTAAGCCTAAATTTATTTTGGGCTGTTGAAATTTAAAAGAAAATATTACAATGCGCATAGAATATACAATGTTATATAACATTGACCTGTGTAAACATTTCTTCGCGAGCACAAAATTAAGGGTTAATTACATCCATATGCTATTGTAAATTTCAAATTTTAAAATATGACATCTCTATTTATTTATTTGGCATCATGCCATTACGATGCATATAAAACGAAAAAGTACGAATTACCCTCTGAACTATCACGATCGACCGAATTACCCCCTGAACCCGAAAATCAGACATTGCTCACCCTGAACTTTCAATACTGAACGAATTACCCCCCTCGACCCAATCCAGAGCAGTTTTGTCCTACGTGGCTTACGCGTGACAATCCAGTCAGCATTTTCTTTTTTTAAAAAATTATGGGACCCACCTGTCATACCTCCCCTTCCTCTCTTCCTCCCTCTCTTCACTCACTCACTCTCTCTCTCTCTCTCTCACACGGGGCGGCGTAGGGGCGGGAGGTGGGTGGTGGGCGCAGCTGGGTCATGAGCAGCTGGCGGCGAGCAGCGGCGGGCGTAACCCACGCGCACGGCACGGTGATGCCGATGACGGAGGCAAAGGTGAAGTAGTGGAAGCCACAGACGGCGTAGCAGAACTCTTCCACCTGTCATACCTCTCATCAACCCATTCCATCTCTCTCACGCACGTGCTCAGGCTAGGCAGCGGGTGACCTGCGGCGGAGGCGGAGCTCCCCAGGCAGCGGGTGGCTGAGGTGGAGCCAGCGGACGGCGGTGGAGATGGACCTCCCGGGGCAGTGGGCGGTGCTGGCGGAGGCAGTGCGGGCGGCTGAGGCAGAGGCGAAGGCAGAGATCCCCGGGCGGCTGAGGTGGAGGCAGAGCGGGCGGCCAGCGGACGGCTGATGCGAAGGCAAAGGCGGAGATCCCCGGGCGGCATATGTGGAGACAGAGCGGGCGGCTGAGGCGGAGTCGGAGTGGGCGGCTGAGGTGGAGGCGGAGGCGGAGCTCCCCGAGCGGTGAGCGTAGGTTGGGCGGGCGTGGAGGGACGCCTACGACCGACGCACCACGCTCCGGGCACTTGGGTGTTAGCAGACCATAGCCGTGGTGGCGGTGGCGATGGCGCGAGAGAGACCGCCGCCTCCATGTCCTGTGTCGTTGCCTCCGTGTCCCGCACGTGCCGCCGCCTGCTGCCGCCCACCGCCTGCATGCTACCGTGCACAAGAAAGGAAGAGTGAGAGAGAGAGGAAGAGAAGAAAGAGGAGGTGAGAGAGAGTGACAGGTGGGCCCCACCATTTAAAAAAATGTAAATGCTGATTAGATTGCCATGCGTACGCCACGTAGGAAAAATCGCTTTGGATTGGGTCGAGGGGGTAATTTGTCCGATATTGTAAGTTCAAGGTGAACGATGACTGGTTTTTGAGTTTAGGGGGTAATTCGATGGACTGCAGGTAGTTCAGGGGGTGGGGGGTAATTCGTACTTTTTTCCATATAAAATCGATACAAGTACGTCCGAGACAAAGTATTGAATCTTTTTGATAGGAAACATATGGGCCTGAGCCCATGAAGCCCATCCTATATACACTTATTAGGCCTACACCTAAACCTACCATATATAAAATTTAGTTATATAAGGCGGAGGGGTGCTACTCATTGTACTAGTGAACATGAAGAAATGATTGAGAAATAGGCATACCCTCATATCTCCGTGTCTCCAATTCTTGTTGAATTATACAACCACTCTGGACTACACATCTAGCACACGACGTTCTACCAGAGACCGAGAAAAGAAGAATGGTAAGAACTCGCAGATTCATTTTGCATCTCGTTGATTCAATTGCAAAAAATGAATTCCTCTCCCCGTTCTCGTTCTGCTTTTGCCATTCCCAACGAAATTCACCACAGCTGACTAGGAGTCGCCAGCACATGCCGATTGGTCGAAACCGCACGTGGTCAGCAAACACTGCGTTGGTGTGCCGGCGACGCACCATGGCAGTGAACCCGCACCATGGCTGCAAGCTCGCGCATGCTACAGCACAGCCACAAGTCTGCGCCGGCAACGCACACTGGCTGTGCCCCGCGCTGGCGTGCACTCGGCAGCAATCCGCGCCACGGCCATGCCCGAGGCCGCGTGTTGATGGTCGTTATTGACCAATTTCGACCGTCAATATATCCAGAATAAAGGAGAACTAGCAATGCTTGCAATATATATTTCATTAGAAATAATCTATCTCCACCGAGATCTTCACATAAATGAAGGAAAATCGATGGAAAATAACCAAACAATCAATCGAACCCCGTCAAGAGGCAGACCTATGGTTGGATGGGCCCATAAACTCTATTAAACATCTATACCACTGGGTTAAGGAGTCATGAGAGGAGGCCCAAGAGGAAGCAGCAGGCTGGGGAGCCAGCCAAGGTTCGGCCGAACCTCCGCTGAGGCCTCTCATCCTAGTCTTCCATGTGGATGCTCCTAATCACTCCCCAATAACGGTTGCAGGACATTTCAGACATTTTCAACCGCCATAACCATCATTGGCAGCCTATTGAAGGACCTCATCACCTCCATTCCAAAGTGCACCAAGAAGGATCATTTCAAGAGCAATATTTTTAGTACAGCACCAAAACACTACTTTGTGCAATATTTTTAGTACAGCACCATTTCTCCTTTATGTTTGTCGTTCTTTTTGTTGAGCATACATTTTTAGAGGTGCCATCTGCCAGCTTTGAAGCTAATTTTTTATGAAAGCTTTAGCTCATATCCATATTCGTGACGGAAAAATGGTTTGTTCGCATTGGTTTAGGCAAATGGCATTCTCATTTTTACCATTCTACTGCCTCTAGACCCCAGTTGCAAGAACAAAATTCAAATCATAAAAATTAAATATTGAGATTTGGAGCACTACAAACAATATTCTTTCTAAAAATAGATGCAATTCTTCTGAGTCCATATGATGCATCTTTTGGAGTGATTAGGATCTGATCATGAGAATTATCCAGTTATGCACCTATTTAAATAATCTCTCAAAATGTGTATGATTAATGCAACGAGTTCAATAATTTATCATGATGCCTAATCTAATCCTTTTTACTCAATTATCTTGCAGGCAATCTTGATAAATTAATTGCTCTACTTTAGAGAGTTTTTTAACTACAGGCAGGTGAGATGACCACCAGCACAGTAGCTCATTACAAGAGCAGAAATTAACCGGAGTGAAGATTGTTTGGCAGCTGAAACTGCACTGTGTAGACAGTAGCCCTTGCTTGAGAAGTGATGGCCATGACTTTGAGCCTTTGATCATCTGGAACAGCAGCACTTCAGTATGCAATGCAAGCTCTTGGAACTTGGAAGTGGCCATATACATTGTGTAAAATATACATCAATTACTACTATCCTTTTCATCCATCAGAATTGTGTTACTTGCCGTCTACGGTTTAACATGGCACTCTACCACCAAAATTTGTTGTAAACATGGTATCTAAGCACTGCTTGAGCGATCCAACTATTTAGCACTCAGAAAATCCACCACTAAGTTATGTGGACAATTTTTTTTTCTTATTTACATTCTAAGCTTCTAGCAACGACACAAAATAGGAATCAAATTGAACAATACGCAGGGGGCGCGCCCCATCATCTAGTTATGCTAATTACGCGCGTCTTCCCACCTTCGCATGGTGGGCAAGGCCGAAACCGCGCGTGAGGTCGTAGGCAAAAAAACATGCGCAACTTCGCTCGCCAAGGCATCGGCGCGGAATAGGAAAAACGCATATAGATATATAGGGCGCGCATACTAAAACTTGTGTTACTCATTTAAATGAGAAAGGGTTATCGACCTACGCCTGCTGGCCCTTTTCGGCTTTTCGCGGTATGCCTTCTCTTTCCGTTTATGCTCTTGCTCTTGCTCTCGATCGCTTGTACATGGTAGAGGTAGTAGCTAACTGCTGAATATGCACAACTGATGTGCGCAACAATAGGATATGGAGTTCACCGTCAGCGCAGCACGGTGGGTGGTGGGCAGGGCGCTGGGCCCCGTCACCGGCGAGCTGATGGAGGCATGGGCGGCGAGCAAGAAGCTTGGCCCCAACATCCGCGAGCTCAAGCTCCTGCTCCTCCATGCGCAGGCGATGCTCGAAAATGCCGAGGGCCGGGACATCCGTAACGGTGCACTGGATCAGCTGCTGTCTCAGCTCCGGGACCTGGCGTACGACGCCGACGACGTGCTGGACGAGCTCGACTACTTCCGCATCCAGGATGAGCTCGATGGCACGTACGAGGCGGTCGACGACGCCGAGGAGGAGAGGGGCCTTGTCCGTGGCCTCGCCCTGCACGCTCGCCACACCGCGAGAGCCATCGCCAGAAAGCTGAAGTGCACGTGCAGTGCCAGCGCCAGGAGCCACGCTGATGCAGAAGAAGGGCGATGCCTCCCTGCCACTGCTGTCGGTAAACTCCTCCCTTGCTGCTCTCCCCCAACTGTGCACAACGATGATGCCGCTGGTGCTAAGACAAATGAACAGCATCTCCAAGCCCCTAAATTGAAGTTTGTTAGGGTTGAAATGTCCAAAAAAATGTCAGAGATAGTAGAGCAGCTTAAGCCTGTTTGTGACGCTGTTGACAGAATTCTTGGGCCACTACAGCCTTCAGGCCACTCCAAAAATGCTAAAACCCAATGCATTGATTTAGAAAAACGACCTAAAACCACCCCAACGATTATTGAGCATGAATTATTTGGAAGGAAAGACCTTAAAAGGATCGTGGCAGATGAAATTATGATTGGCAAATACCGTGATAATGACATTACCGTGCTTCCCATTGTTGGTCCAGGTGGTATCGGGAAGACAACTTTCACACAACACATATATGAAGAAGTGAAGAACCACTTTCAGATCTCCGTCTGGATATGTGTTTCTCAAAATTTCAATGCAAATGTATTAGCAAAGGAGATTGTAGAAAAAATGCCTAAGGGAAACAACGAAAAGGAAAATGAAAGTGACCAAGAGAAAATCGAGAAAAGAATACAATCACAGCAATTCTTGCTTGTCTTGGATGATGTGTGGGAATATCATGAGGATGAGTGGAAAACCTTACTAGCTCCATTTAGAAAAAGTGGAACAAAAGGAAATATGGTAATAGTTACAACTCGAAAGCAAAAGATAGCAAAAATGGTCGAATCAACCGATTGCTCAATAAAATTGGACCGCTTGGATCATGAAGATTCTATGCGGTTATTCCAGGCATGTGTGTTTGATAACAACAAGACATGGGAAGATTATCCATCGGGTTTACAGAAAGTTGGGGTAGACATAGTGGACAGATTGAAGGGTTTCCCTCTTGCTATAAAAACCGTAGGTCGGTTATTAAGGAATAAACTTACTTTGGACCGATGGACTAGAGTATATGAAAGTAAAGAATGGGAACTTCAGCCCAATGATGATGATATTATGCCGGTATTAAAGTTAAGCTATAACTATCTTCCTTTTCATCTACAACAGTGTTTCTCCTATTGTGCTTTGTTTCCTGAAGATTATAGATTTTGTGGACAAGAATTGATTAACTTGTGGATTGGACTGGGGTTACTTGGCACCGATGATCAAAACAAGACAATGGAGTATTTAGGACTAGAGTATTTAGACCAATTGGTTGACAATGGGTTTTTCGAACAGGTTGGAAAAGAGCATGACAGTCCTTATGTAATGCATGACCTGTTGCATGAGTTGGCAACAAATATTTCGTCACACGAAATTCGTTGTCTAAATAGTTCAACTTTGAGTTCTATCAACGAAATTCCCAAATCTATACGTCACATGTCTATCATAGTAGATAACAGACATGTTGAGAATAGAATCGCCTTTGAAAATCATAAGAAAGACCTGAGTACACTGGGAAACAAATTGAAAGCTGGGAACCTACGCACAATTATGCTTTTTGGAGAATATCATGGATGCTTTTACAAGATTTTTGGTGACGTTTTGATAGATGCAAAATCCCTTCGGGTTATTTTTTTGTCAGGGGCATCCTATGATGTTGGAGATGTGTTGTGTAACTTTTCAGAACTTGTACATCTTCGGTACTTAAGGATTAAAGATTCTAGGATGTGTGGAGCAAGTCTACCCAATAGTATCACAAGATTTTACCACTTATTGGTCCTTGATTTACAAGAGCACTATGGTGAATTGGGTTTTCCAAGGGACATGGGAAACCTTCTAAAACTACGCCATTTTCTTGTCCATGATGATAATATTCACTCTAGCATTTTTGAGGTGGGAAAACTAAATTTTTTACATGAGTTACGGAAGTTTGAGGTCAAAAGAGAAATGAAAGGTTTTGACTTGGAGCAAATTGGGCGACTACTAGTACTCCGTGGGTCACTGGGCATTTATAACCTTGAAAAGGTTGAAGGGATCAAGGAAGCAAATGATGCAAAACTAGCATATCTAAACCATTTGGATAGTTTAGTATTGGATTGGGATAATGAGCGATGTAATAGGGATCCTATCAGAGAAGGAAATGTTCTTGAAAATCTTAAACCACATGACAACATTCGAGAGCTGCACATTGCAGGGCATGGAGGCGTATCTTGCCCGAATTGGCTAAGTGGAGACCTCTCCATTAGAAATTTGGAATCACTTCTGATAAAATATGTAAATTGGGACACATTTCCACTTCCAGGAAAGTTGTACATGACTGAGGGTCAAGAGCGTCAGGGTTCTGTCACAAGCCACGACTTTCATAATCTGAAAAGGTTGGAGCTAGTTAACATACAAAAGCTGAAAAGATGGCATGGGGATGGTACCATTAATTTGCTCCCTCATTTGCAAAGTTTAACTATAAGTGATTGCCCTGAATTAACAGAGTTGCCACTATCAGATTCCACATCCTGTCAGTTTCAACAGAGCACGATTTGTTTTCCTAAACTACAGAAAATCAAGATTTCAGAATGTCCGAAATTGTTGTCATTCCCCCCTATACCTTGGACTAATTCTCTGTTGTATGTATCTATTCAAGGTGTGGATTCAGGTTTGGAGATGTTGAATTACAGTAAAGACGAATCAAGTCTGTATATCACAGGAAAAGATGCTCCAGGTAGCATGTTTTGGAACATGCTTGATTTCAATAATCTAACAGAACTGCAAGAGATGAATATCACAAAATGTCCCCCTATATCGTTGGATCACCTTAAAATGCTGACATGTCTCAAGACCCTTCAGATAACTGATTCAGGTAGCATATTGTTGCCAGTTGATTGTGAAAACTATGTCCAGTACAATCTTCCAGTTGAGAAACTGATAATCCGTTCATGTGGTACTAGAGGGAGGGAATTGACACATGTGCTCTCTCACTTGCCCAAACTATCAACTTTGCTGATATGGAAATGTCAGAACGTAGCAAGGCTCGGTGTGGCGGAGCAGCGAACAATAACAACTCCTGAATCATCACTATCACCATCAGCTAACAAAGCAGCCAAGACACTAACCACAATACCGCAGCAGCAGACAGGAGAAGCGGAGGAGATGGAAACAGCAACAGCAGACGATGGACTACTTCTCCTGCATCCCCAAATAAAGGTGTTTGAAATCAGTGAGTGCAGAGAGCTAAGCCTCGACAGCGGTGGAATCCAAGGTCTGCTCTCCCTCCAAACGTTGGGGATATATGATTGCCCCAAGCTCCTCTGCTCCTCTTCCTCCTCGTATTCCCCTTTCCCAACCTCCCTGCAAACGCTCCAACTCTGGAACGTGGAGGGCATGGAGACCCTGCCTTCTCCTCTCCCAAACCTCACCTTTTTGTACATTTCCCATTGTGGCAATCTCAGAGGGGGCGAGGTCTTGTGCAATCTCCTTGCCCAAGGTAACCTCACCTCTCTATATGTCCACAAAACTCCCAATTTCTTCCTTGGTTTAGAGCACTCCTGCTCCCAGGTGGACAAACAAGAAGACGTGCATCGTTCCTGGAGGTTGCAGGAACTCTCCACAGATGACTTTGCAAGGGTTCTTGCTACACCTGTTTGCCATCTCCTCTCTTCCTCCCTAACCAAATTAGACCTTCGTTGGAACGATGAGGTGGAGTGCTTCACAAAGGAGCAAGAGAAGGCCCTTCACATTCTCACCTCCATTGAGGACCTAGAATTTTCGAGGTGCAAAAAACTGCAGTCCCTCCCTACTGGGCTTAGTGAAATCCCCAACATCAAGACATTAGGGATCTATGGATGTCTAGCCATCAGCTCGCTTGGAAACCTCCCCAATTCACTGCAACAACTAGAGATTTCTTCCTGTCCAGCCATCAGCTCGCTTGGAAACCTCCCCAATTCACTGCAACGACTAGGGATTTCTTACTGTCCAGCCATCAGCTCGCTTGGAAACCTCCCCAATTCACTGCAACAACTAGAGATTTCTTCCTGTCCAGCCATCAGCTCGCTTGATGGCACAACCATCCGCTCACTGGCCAAAGACCGCCTACCAACTACACTCCGAGAAATAGACGTCCGTTACTGTGGCAACGAGGAGCTAAAAAGGCAGTGCCGCAAGCTTCAAGGAACTATCCCAATTGTAAAGGCCTAGCCTGCACCAAGGTAACAAGCACTTCAATCTCTCTACTACTCTCTCTTCTTCCCCATATTTCACTATCCAGTTGCTGCTCTTTCCATTTTCTTCCTAGCACATCAACATCAGTTCATTCTTTTTTTTTTTTACAGGTACCATGTAGGGTTCTTATAGTCCCGCTCTATCTGCATTTGTTACTGCGACTTGGTACATACATACAAGTGTACAACTGGTTAGTCATCACTCATCATCCCAATAGAACCTACAAATGTGGAATTCATGCCTATTGTTTTTGTTACTTGGATGCTTCCAACTTTCTTATATTCAGTTGGTCAGAACATCACTATCTTTTACACAATTTTAGAATTTGTTGTTGATAATGACATAATCAAGCTTCTGTACGTGTTAACCCTTTGCTGTTTTCTGAATAAATAACATAACTTGTTATAATCTCTGATATTCAGAATAGGATTCCATCAGTTGCTTATAGTGCCTTTGAATCAAATTAGAATATAGTAAAGGAAATATATGTACAGTTTTCTACTTAGAAAGGAAACATGATTTATTATTCAGGTACAACATACTAACCTTTACAATGAACTGCAGATCCCTTTTTTTCCTTTGTCTGGCAACAGAGGTAGCATATTGACGACATATGTAAACATGGGTTTCTTGAATGAATAAGTGCCTTGGTGGCTTTATGTTACATATAAGATCTATTATTTTTTTTAGTACTGGTATATATTATCAGTGATGCAAGAAATGGATTTACCCTGCGAAGAGCAAGAATGGGCATGGGATCTGTGTCATATAGTGCCACTATAATAGTGGGACGAAATCCTACAGAATGATGGGAAAAACATCTGCTTGGCTGGGTTAAGGCAAATTCTGATGGAACTTTTCTGGTGGCAAACTCAAAGGGCGCGTTAGGAGTGGTCTTGAGAAATGAAAGTGGCGATTTCCTTGGGCCAGCTGCCCACTTCTACCCTTCAATGTGTGATGCTACAATGGCAGAAGCGTTGGCGTGTCTTCAGGCAGTGCAGCTAGCGAGTGAATTGGGTGTTTCAAAGGTAATCCTTGAGACTGATAGTCTAGAGGTTCAGAAGATGGTGGCTGATGAGGAAGTTAACAGATCGATGTATGAGGCAATAGTCCAAGGTTTTAAGCATTGGCTAAGTTTGTTTCAAGATTTTAGGATCAAATGGACCGTCGGTTGGCCAATATGGCTGCCCATACTTTAGCCAAGGAATGTTATATGCAAGCGAATATTTGTCGACCTGGTTCTTTGTCCCGCCAGAGTTTTTAAGGTCCTGATTAGTTAAGGACTGTAATCAAGTCAATACTATTGAATGAAGTGCTAGTAGATTCCCCTAAAAAAAGTTCAGTGGGATGAAGTGTGTAGTAGTGTGGCATGCTGCATGCACACAAGAACTGGACAAAAGGAGAAGAAAAATGAAAAGGAAATGCAGCATCAACCTACTGTAAGAGCCCTGCAAAATCTTTATCAAGTTTACTTCACCTTTGGAGTACTTATTTTTATTGGATCAATTTCATACTAGGTCAGTATATTCTTGACTAGTCCAACTCTCCGAGGTAACAGGCACTTTCCACTCTCTGGAGCCATTATGAATTTCCACATTCTCAACTCACCAACATGAGGTCATTCTGTATTATGAAAGGATAGCTTTCTCTAATTTTGTGCGACAAAAATATTATATGATAGATGCTCTTCTATGTATAATTAATACAAGAAGTTCGATCGTTTCAAACATACAAAATTGGATATTGTCAATTGTAAAAATTTTAAGAAAATACAGCAACAGCAAGCTCATTGCTGTTCATCGTTTCTCCAGGCTGCACATGCTGAGGATGGATGACTTTGCAGGGGTCCTTGCTGCATTAATTTGTCACATAGTCCTCTCTTCCTTCCTCACCACTTGGAACGATAAGGAGGAGACATATGGTAACAAGCACTTCCATGTCTATAATTTTCCCATTTTCTACCAACCAATTGTTGTTCTTTCCATTTTTCCTATCTCGTCGACATGAGCTCTTATTCTTTTTTTTCTGTGTGCAGAGTCCTTGCTGGACATGACCTTGCTTTTAGCATCTCTTATAATTCTACTCTACACTGCATCTGTTAACTCAGAGATTTCCAACCATCAAGACTCCAACCTGTACTTTCGGTTGTGTACATAGAATTGGTTAGTATGCGCAAAATCCCTCCCATATAAACTACAGTATGAAGACCTATTGTTTATTGCTTCGATGTTTCTACTTTTATGATGCTCTTTATAGGCTAGGAGAATACAATTTCTACTATATAAATAAATAGTTGTTGATCGTGACTTCATTTTTCCAAAAAGAAAAGTAGGTTGCTTGGTTTGAACTGAAAGCATAACAACATCTTGCAATAGGTGCTGGAGTTTACAGTTTACAGTCCAAAACCACCTAAATTAGTAAGACTAGACCAATTCACTGAACAGAGTGAAATCATTCTTTAGGAGCCCTTTTTCAATGGAGCAAGCAGCATTGATCTCTTTCGTATCGTCTACTTGATGAAGTGGCATCACCCTCAAAAGCCAGTGAACGCGTTGATGAAGCCTAGAGGGGGGGGGGGTGAATAGGCTGTCCCTGAAAACTTAAAAACAAATCGCAGCGGTAAAATTCAAACAGACCCGGAACTTCCTGGTAAGGAACTCCGGAACTTCCGGCCTTTCAGGCCCGGAACTTCTGGTGTTCTAGGACAGGAACTTCAGGGTAACAGAACAGAGAAGAAATTCAAATTTCGAAACAGGAGACTAAGCCAATCTTCACAAGAAGGTGCACAGGTATTCTAAGCAGAGGATAGATCACAGAATCATCCACAGAAACATCACAGAAAGAGACAAGAGCGATTTTTTTCCCGAAGTTCGGATCTTGCGATCCTACTCTCCGTTGAGGAGCTCCAAAGAGCTAGGTCTCGATTAACCCCTTGCCTCACTTGTGCAAAAACCCCAGAGGAAATCCACAGCCTTCAACCCCAAACACTCCTAGGCAAATTTCTAGAATTGAGTGACCACCAAGATCCAACTCAACCTACTTCTAGAAATCCGCCACAAGTGTAGGTTGTTCTACTTGGAAAACCTCTAGAATCTCAGCATAAGAACTTCATTCACTTACCTCGTTCCCTTTCGGAGGAGAGGAGATCCTTCACAAACTTACCCGGGACATTCACAATATGCAACGGATTCTCGCGGGCGACACCTAACCGTCTAGGAGATCATCTCCAAGAGTAATAAGCACCGAGATGACAGGCCACGAGATATTCCAAGAGCTCACCCAAGATCCTAGTCTTCACACCTCTCCAAATTTTCTTCTCTCCCTCTCAATCTCTCTTTCTCACAAGAATTAGGCTCTAGATTGAGTGGAGAAGGCAAGAAACACTTGGGAGAGGCTAGCAACAGCTCTAGGTTCGAAAAGTGAAAGTGGAATAGCTAAAGAACGAGCTGGAAACGAGCTGTATATGTATAACGGCTAGGTGACGTCATCTAGCCATTACTCACAATTTTGAACTGGAGACTAGACAGGAAGTTCCGGACCTGTAGGACAGGAACTTCCGGACTACACTTAGAAAAATCTTTTTCACAAGACCGGAACTTCCGGACCTGGAAGACAGGAAGTTCCGGACTTGCACTTCTGGACAGATGGAGTATTTGCAAAAATGACTCCTAGGGAAACTTGACACTTGGTTCACACTAAGAGCACTTGAGATATCTCAGAGCATCACCTGGAACCCCTCTTAATAGTACGGTTTTTCCTAAAAACTCGATTGCAATAAATAAACTATGCTATGCACTTCTCGAGTTCCGGTCCGCTTTGATTTTATACTTTTGGGGGGTCTCCAAGCATCCATCTTCCACGCCTTGGACTAATGCACCTGAAAGTAGCTCAATGAACTCATTAGTCCCTTAACCACATTTTTCATTAATCACCAAAACCCACTAGGGGGATTAATGCGTTTTCAGCCAGAACCCGACATAGGTAAAGCATCTGAAAGTTGTCTACCGCCTCTGCCAATCTCGCTCGAACGAAAAGACTCCACTGCTTCAAAAGCAACAAAACCTTGTAAGCTAGCTACAACAAAACCAAAAGCATCTTTGATTTGAGGTTAGCAATTCAATAGATTTTTCTGTTACTACTCTAAGTTTGTGGGACCACAATCTTTCTTAATCAACTCTTCTTCAAGTGCTCTTGTTTGTTTTTTTCCCTCAAAACAAATTTACTAATGCAAAATGCATTGTTCTTTCAGACATACAGACCTGGATGTTCTAGTTGCATTTAGTTCATCTGCATTAAATTTAGCAGTAACAACAAAGATATTTGCAGCCTTGAAGCATCTAGGCCCCCGGTGTTAATTTTGGTAATTAATGACAAGCGCTAATTGTGGACTAACCGTTGTCTTTGAGCTATACATTTTAAGTTAGGTCCACGTCATATGTGCGCATGGATGATTATCGATGGATTAAAATTTGACGGCGCAAAGCAAAGGGAAAGAAGACGGTAAAACTAGCGTTTTAATTTAGAATTGATCGAGGTGTAGGGCGATCAAATTTGCTAGTTTATTTTTACTTTCGCCGTACTATTAAGAGGGGTAATGACCTAGCAAAGAGATGATTTTAATTGCCACATTAGGTCATTATGCATTTAGACTTGTGCTCACATTTCACACACACACACTTCACTGGGTTCGGCCTGACCAGGGGCGGTCAAACCGGCCACATAGTGGCGGTCTGACCGGCGTGCCCTGGCCGGTCTGACCGGCCGCAAGAAGGCGGTCTGACAGGAGCATAAGGCCGGTCTAATTGGCGGCACATGCGCGGTCAGACCGGCCCCCTGGAGGCCGGGATGGTGCTGCTCGGGATGGCCGATACAGAGCCGACGGAGCCGTATTCGGTCAGACCGAGCCGATGGCGGTCTGACCGAGCCGAGGCCGGTCTGACTGGCCATCCCATGTCGGTCTGACCGGCCAGGCCGATGGGGCCCTCTGACAGGGCTACAACGGCTAGTTTTCTAGCCGTTGCAGAGTAGCACGGTCTGACCGGCCACATACCTCCGGTCAGACCGGCAGAGCACAGAGTTGGGGGATTTCGCCCCCAACGGCTAGTTTTGGTGGGTGGGAGTATAATACTCCCCCACCAGCAGCAAGGTGGCTCTCTTGGCACCCAATTCAATTGCATACACCCCTTGCACCTCTCTCACACTCATTTGAGCTTTGTGTTCATCCATCTAGTGTGTTAGAGGGTTGTTTAGCCAAGAGTCAAGTGCATTTGCTTTCATTGTAGAGCTAGTGTGGCACTTGATCATCTCCACACCAGGTCATTGCTTGTTACTCTTGGAGGTTGCCGCCTCCTAGACGGCTTGTGGAGGAGTTGCCTGGTGACCTCTCCGAGAAGATTGTGGAGGAGGCCCGGCGCCAGTTTGTGAGTGGTTTGGAGTTCACCACCTTCGGAGTGAAGGAAGAACTACCCCGAGTGATCGAGGCTTGGGTAGTCCTCTCCGTGGGCCGGCTCCCGCCTTGCCCACCCCTTGACGAAGGGGGCGTGCGGTGGCTTCGTGGGTGAGCGGTGGAGTTGGGCTCGCCTCAACGGGGAGTAGGAAACCGGGGAGTTTCCGAACCTCGGTGAAAAATCTCTTGTCTCATTGTCTCATTTGATTGTCGCATTTACATTTGTGCAATTTACATTTCTAGAGACATACTTGAGATTATATCACCCTAGGATTGCAAAACATTGACATAGGAGCGTGATTTACTTTCCTAGAGATATAATTGAGCCACTATCACCCTAGGTTTGCAAAACACAACTTAGTTGCTTAGTTAGAGTTCACCCTCACCAAGCCTAGCAACTTAGGTTAGATTTGATTATGTGTTATTTAGTTTTAAATCGCCTATTCACCCCCCCTCTAGTCGACATCTCGATCCTACAAGCCTACCTTCTCACAAATGGAGGTATGATTTTCTTGTTTCTTCTTATTCTTTTCTTTTTGCTATTAATTGTCGAAACTGGTTGCTCTTATCTGTACTACGTTACTTTTTTATCAGGACAGTACAATACCGCATGAATTACACAACTACTTTCTTGTTCACTGTCTGCTTTAAGAGTTAAAGAGGTATAGCCCAAAACCTTTAAAAAACAAGACTAATAGTAAAATCCATGTATACTTTTCCTAAGTCATAAGCATGAATTTGTTGTGTTTTTTGTTTTGCTGCATGGTTTGTTTTAAAATCTACTTTGTTGTACCTTAATATAAAATTCTATTCTATATGCATTTACCCAAAGTCATATGCTCTGGAAAATGACTATTTTCCGCCTGGTTAAAAGAGAAACTGGTCAGTGCATGCAAAATAACCATAGCAGACTAACAAGAAAATTAAGTTACTAACCTCGCAAAAAAAAAAAACCTACAGTAGGAGATCTGTTACATTTTTGTAGTTATTTTGGTGCCATTAAAAAATCCAATATTTCAGGATTCCACTTCTGTTTTACTTAATCGCAGATTTGTTTTACTTCCAGTTTCTTTGCTTATGAATTGTGATACATAAGTACTATCGCTTGAAAGTTTCTGACAAAAAATATCTATTGTATATTCTCTTCTGTCAATAAATAACACAAGAATTTGTATCATTTCAGACATCCAGAATTTGATTCCATCAGTTGGCTGTACTATCTGTAAATCAAATTTGAAGATAACAAAAGAAACAGGTTGTTTATTACTTCACGAAATGAGAAGGGTGGTTTCATGGTATGTGTGTGTGTGTGTGTGTGTATAGTGCAGTTTGTTCTTTCCCTTTTGTTGCAACAAAATCAATTTTTATGATCTATGTGAACTGTTTTGCAGTCAGCATGGGCTTCTTTAATGGACTTAGTCTTGGATAATTTTTGTTTCACTTGGGTAAGTCTTGATAATTTGATGGTATATAGATCTCTTCTCGAATTTTATACTGGTGTGTTCTTAGCCGTACATGCTCTTTGCCTCCTTGTACCAGGATATTTGTAATGCTACCAAGAAGTGCATTCATTGTAAGCCAAGGGCAAGAGCGAAGCTACTTCAGTTTTGGTTCTGTGAATACCAAGTAGAGGAGAAGCAGCACTAGACTAGTTCGCAAATATCCATGCATGCACCCTCAGACAAAAAGCAGTGCACAGATCACGTGGGCTATAGCCTCATACATTTTGCATTATGTACACTTGTAATATGATAGGTCATTGTCAAGCACTAGTACATGCTGCATTCTAGTGCATGCATTCCAGTGGGATATGCATTCCAGTGCATGCATAGTCTGGCAAATTGCATTCGAACCGTGTATGACATATCGAACGATAGAAACAAATTGCACTGACGTGGACATAGAAGGAGGCCTTGGCAGACGGCGCGGCCTCATATTCCTGATTTGTTCACTCTAAATAGAAGTTGTTTACTTTTATCCTTCATATATTTAGAGCTTGAAAGTGTGACAGGAAGAAACATTTGTATATACCAGAAAAAAGCCCGTTACAATGGAGAGAAAAAACAAGAAAACTGAATTAAAACATATTAAATTCTAATTAATTGAAATACATTTTTTGGAATATTTGGGTATTTTCTAAGTAGGTAGGTATATTTATAAGTAAAGAAAGTGTGAGAAATAAAATGAAATGGTTGGATTTAATTTTTATTAAATTCTTCATATTAATTACTCTCTTTAAAATTTTCTTGGAATTTATAGGGCTTAATTGCTAATTCTGATTATACGACATCATTTCAATATTTGTTTAAATGAAAATCATTCTTTCTCTATCGGTTTCTCTATCGGCCGGGTACAAAGTGCCTTTTTTTCCTTTTTTAAACTTTCTTTATTTTTTAGGAATATATTTTCTTAAATTCTCATATCATGGGAAACTAAACCCTAATCATTATCTAATATTTTTATATTTGTTATAATTTTTGTTAACCCGTTGTAACGTATGGGTATTTTTTCTAGTAAGAACATACAAATAGTAAGCTTCCTAGAGTGATACTTCTATAAGATGCAGTGCACCATTTTAATTACCAGTGAAGAAGCAAGCCTCCACTGAAAGATCGAAGATACTGGTGCTCCAAGACTGTGGACCTAATTCCAAATAATTCATTCATGTCAGGAATAATTTGAATTGACATCTTTAGTTGCAGCGCGGTCGTTATCTTAACACATTCTGGTCTTTTTATACTCAATGTAAAATACTTTCATAATTCCTGAAATCTGAACAATATAAGAGATTATAAAAAAGCAGCACTTTGTTGTACCTGAAGCCTTTGGAGTATAAAAAAATTACATTGTACAGTCCGCAATCATAGGCTGAGCATTTATAATGAAGTGATTTTGTTTATGTGAAAAGAACTATTGTGTGAAGATGTTAAAACATTGATAGTTGAAAAAAGTTCTCGAAAGATTGGTTGTCTAAAATTATATCACTGAAAATCATGGGTACATTGTGATAGTATAGTAAGTTTTTAAAATTTAGCTATGCCACACTATTGTCTTCCCTGTTAATTATTTTTTGTTTTTATTTATTTCCCTGATAATAGGAGAACAGACATATTTGATCATCAGGATGGATCGATTACTTGACTAGGCCGAAAATAAAACAATGCAGGCCCACACATGCACGGGCCATCTCCATCTGACCTTCCAGGCGCATGGTGCACCTGATGTGCCCCAACCCCTGTCACATGATGATGAGCATATCCCAGCTACACTTGAAGTAAACAAGGGTGATGGTTTACGTCATACGTCACATGGAGAAAATGAAGATGACGTAAACCAAGTTGATGGATTACGTCTCACCAAGAATGATCAAGCATATTATGGTCCAATTACGTGCAGCCATACTAGGAAAATACAACAAGAGGTGAACTCGCTCTTTGCTCAACTTAATCCAAATTTTAGTGAGAATTTTATACTACCTAAATGCTCTACATTTGTATTGCTCAGGTTTACGCCCGAGGACATCATCACTACACCAAGAAGGATGGGTTACGTTGAGGGCGATAAGGGTTACGTTGAGGAGGAACCAGCCCATGCCCAACCAGTAGCTGTCTACGCCAACAAGAAGATGGTTTACGCTGCAAAAGACTCAACTTCCAAGGCTTGTGCGACCCAACCAGTCAATTTTCTCCATGCTTAATATATATGGTTAGAAAGATAATCAAGTCTAGTTTCATCTCCAATAAACGGCTCGTCATTTCGACTTCCCAATAAGGAGTTATGGACAAATCATTGAAGACTGCTCAGAAGCTAAACAGACACGCAAGTCTTCTCGGAAATTCACTTATTATGACCTTTGAGCTAGCCTATGTCCAGTAAACTCCGAAGACTTTTCATTACCATCTAGGAGGGTTGTTCCTAGTATAAATATCCCCTATGTTTTATCATTAAAAAGACTTTTGATAATGAGAATATGAACCCCTTTTGTTTAGCTGTGTGCTAGCAAATTCACAGAGAGATCTCTACCCCTTTGCTCTTGTAATTTCCTTGTGAGATTACAGAAGCGGCGTTCGACGCCCCCCAATTGGTGCTTCTGGTCCCTTCGAGGAATTTCTTTGATTGAGTCCAGGTTGTGTTGGTCGGTAAACTTAGAGTGTGGTTGGGCGAACCCTCGATTCAGGTTGCCGTAACAGAGACGGTGGTTGGCTTCGAGTACGATCGTCAGGTTGCACTGTTATCTTGGCTGCTTGCAGCTAGTTATCTTGGTCTCTTTAAGGCTAGTTATCGGTTCGTAATCCTACGCCGTGAAGATCGGGACATCAGCTCTACCGGGGTCATATCAGCACCTCTCCTTGTATTTTTACCTGATAACAATTTTCAGGATGTTATATCTGCGCATGGTTGGTAGGGAGGATGAGTATCACCCCTAGGCTTAAAACAAGGGTGATTGTCAATGTTTTCACTATGTGACATCCTGGTTGGCAAATTAGCTCGCAAATCAAACATAAAAGGAAACAATAGATGTTACACTGGACATGGAGGTGAGGATGACATGTGAGTGACATTATCACTCTTTACCAATATAGGATGGACATAGACACCACGTCATTAAAAAAAAACACTTTCATTAATTTTAGACAAGCGATAAATGTGAACGAATTTAAGAGTTAGGGAACCGACATTCATACTTGAGCGACTATAATCAGGCAAAAGCAAAGTTGAGAGACAAATGCGGACTTCTTCCGTTCTAAAATTAAGTACGAGTACAGCTGGCACGATTTAATTTTTGTTTCGTATAAGAGGCTACTTTTTTTTGCCATGCTATTCTTCAATGAGATATGGAGTTTATTGGAGACAAGAGCATGTCTAAGTTATATTATTATACATACTTATTAGTGGTACAAGATTTTAAACCAAATCTGGTTTTCTAGTACATGAAGACAGTACCACTCCTAAGGGCAGGTATAATTACTAACTATCACTGCTACAGAAAAATAGATAGAGGTCGACACTACAGGTGCTGGAAGTGGTATAATCGGCACGTATAGTGTTTTTCACGCCCACACGCCCGCCAGCCCACCAAAGTACCATAAGCAATAGAAAGAGATAGGAGCTCGAGATGGCGAAGGAATAAGCGATATGAAGTCCTCGTGGGCCATGACAGGTTATCTTCTCGCGGGCGCGGTGAATATGACCATCGCCTCGAGCGGATTGGGTTATCAAACGTGAGGGAAGCAGCCAAGCACGTGGGTCATGGAGCATAAGCAAGCTGGTAGGGTGTGCGCAAAAGGAGGTCACAAGCGTGGACTAGGGGATAGGGAGGAGAGCCTGGTGAGAGGAATGTGCTGAAAATGGCTGAGTAGGACGGTGGGGAGAGAGAATTTTGGTCCGGAAACGGCCGATTGATATAGGATTTTATATTTTAGGTTTTTATTTTTTTATGAAAACTCTAAAATTGGTTTTGGTTTATTAAAATTATTCTCTTTTTGTGCTCTAAAAATTCAAGTAAAAATGTTTGAGTATGGGTAATATATGAAAAATACTGCAAGGCAAATTAGAATTTTTACTGGACTTATCATTTGAGACTTATTTTTAGGTTTTCAACTATTTATATAAAACATTAAAAATTCCTGTCCAGGCTTACACACGCAGATTTTTGTTGGTCTCATGGCTCATGCAGGACATGCAAAATTTAGTTGCAGTAAGATGCAGATCTTTTAAAATTTTAGTTGCAGTAAAAAAATGCAGATCTTTCAAATATGGATGCAGGTTTTTGTCGTTTGCCATATGGAACAACCCTAGTGTATCCTCATCATGCCTTCTCTGAATTTTTTGATACGACCACCTGCTTAATTGTATAAAAAAGATGTTATACATTTTGTTGTGTAAGTTTAAGATTTTAGAAATTCTTTAAAGCTATAATTCAGTAACTTTATCATGAAATTATTAAAGGTGAGATAACAAAAGCAGTCAGGTGCAGATATGTTGAAGCATCTAGTTACACAAGCTTCACCGCATCCAGTCACACGATTTTGATATCGCGAGAGTTAAAACAAATTCACAACAAAGTATATATAATATCCTGGTTAAGCAACAATGTCTTCATTATCTATTTGCTGCCAGCCTACTGAAGAAATTGCTCCGCTTCCACCATTGAACAGACCTGATACTACATGGGGAACCACTCAAGGTTTGCGAGCTTATTATATATTGATGAAAGGAGGGGGAAGTAACTCCCTACACAAATTAAGTTGGATTGATGTCAACACTGATGATTATTCAGTTTACTAATCTGAATAAATTTATCAGTTTCACTCCATCACCTGACACCTGTGATCACAGTGATTAGGTCTGATTAACTCCAAGGGGAACCGCAAAAGGTTTGCCAGCTAAAAGTGATAAGACCTGATAGTACACTATGAGGAACCAACTCACGGTTTGCAAGCTAAACTGAGAAAATTGTCTCCAGCGTACTGCCTCGTTTGAGGTGTTGATCCTACTTGCATTGGCATTTGGAGAATCTGGTGGCAGCAGAGTGGCATTCTCATATGACAATGTCAAATCAAAAGGTTCTAACTTCTCAGTCGATCGGAATAGTTATAATCTGACTCAGGAGAGCAAAAGAATGTCAACAGAGGAAAGCTTGTGCAACCCACAAAACTAGTCTGAAAAAAAAATTCTAGATTGGATCGACACCTCCAAATTGTAACCATTTGCTAGTAACAACAATTTCTAAGTTGGCTTGAGGAATCCAAATTGTGAAGCCATCAGTACCTAGCATTTTCAAGTGTGCCTCTATGAGAGTGCTCAACAAAACTAGTCTAAACAAAAGACTCTTGGGTGTGTCTATTTGAGTTTCTGAACAACATGATGGGTCAATGCTGAATAAGATCAAACCATACTAGAAATATAAATCAAAGCATAGCACGAATTGAAAAAACAAAAAATCATAGCCAGACCACAAGTAGTAACATTATTATATTGATGAAAGAAGTGGGGAAGTAAAAATTCCCCACACTTAGCTAAATTATTCATCATATCTTTCTAACGCTACCTCCTCCTCCCGACTGGTTCTTCTTCACGGTAACCCCGTTCCGGAACCTTCTCCGGCCAGGGGGAGCAACAATTCGAGGAGGAACTTTACTGTCTTCTTCTCCATCGTCGTCGACAACGACCTCGTACTCGGCGTAGCCTTTGGTGTAGTACTGGTTGAGGATCCCATCCCGTTCCCCGCGGATATGGTTCTGAATCTCGATGAAGCTGGCCTTCTCCGCTTCCCTCTCATCCTCATACGCCTTGAGCTTATCGATGAGGTCCTGGGGAAAATTGGCGAGGGTTTCCTCGCCCAGGGCCTCCAAGAGGCTGGGCATGTTGTCGTTGAATGGTATCTCCACGTCCTTGTACGCGATGCAGTTGTTGATCTGCTCTTGGGTAAACCGCATCGTCTTCGTCTTCTTCTTCGTCGTCGTCGTCTTCTTCTTCTTCTTCTCCTCCATCACCGGCGCCTCGCCTTCGCCGGAGGGATTCACCGCAGGTTGTATCACCAAAGCCTTACCTTGGCCCGAAGGATCCATGCCCAGAGCTTTGCCTTCCTCGGATGGATTCATTGCCGAAGGATCCATCACCGGAGGAGGGAAGGTTCGTCGGCGCTGGAGTTATGCCCCTTTGCACTCGTCGATCCCGAATTCTTGACTAGAACGAAATAGACTGCTTCAACATATATACCTACCCAACTGAGTCGGGATCGGAATCGCTTCTCAAGTAGTCGGGCTCGATATTACGTACTACTACTGTATATCGGAATTTTTTTTTGAGGGAAACCGAGAGATTTATATTACCAAACCAGCAGAATCGCTGGATACCAGCCGTTCCAGACCAGGCGGGCAGCCTGCCCAGGAAGACACGGTCTGGAGATTACAACCATACGCGGCAAGCTCATGTGCCACCTTATTACAACTCCGGGGCGAGTAGCTAACAGAGAAGGAATGAAAACAGCTCAAAATTATATGTTTAATCTCAAGAATCACTCCTCCTAAGGATGAAAGGTTAAAGGAATTATCCTGAATCGCATACCGAAGCATCATTGAGTCTGTTTCTAGCTCAATTCTGGACATACCCCTTTCACTCGCAGTCTTGATTGCAGCAGCACAGGCAACAACTTCAGCATGGAAGGCGTCTTGTAGATAAGCTGCCGGACCAGCTCCTGCCTGAAGGACTGCGCCAGTCTGATCCTTGATCACAAAACCCCATCCTCCCTGCTTCATGTTACTACTGTATGCTCCGTCGGTGTTGATTTTCACAAAGTTCAGGGGTGGCCGTCTCCAAACTGCACACTCTCCTGTTCTGGGGCTTTTTTCCTTTACATTCATCCTAACAAACTCTCCTGCCTGTGACATAATCAGGTGTGAGAGCTCAGCTGGGCTCCTTGGTATTCCTCCTTCTCTTACTTCATTCCTCTCTTTCCACCACTGCCAAAGGCAAACTATGGCACTTGTTCGTTCATTTTCCGGGCGGCAGTAAATTGATTGTAACACATTCTTTCCTGACGTTTGCTGCTCTAGCATGGATCTCAACTCTTCTAGGTTTAAAGCTTGCCAAACTTTCTTCACTGGCTTGCACTTAAAGAAAAGATGTCCAGCATCTTCATTATACCGGCCACACATCACACATCTAGTATCGACATCCATACCTCGATGGTGCAGGTTAGCACGCAACGCCAGCGTGTTGTGGCACATTCTCCACAAGAAGTGTTTGATCTTTCCTGGAACACCCAGTTTCCAGAGCTTCTTCCAAAAATCATCATCCCCACTCTCCCAATTTGAGACCCCAGGGCATCCGTTTCTGCTAGCTCTTCTCTCCATCTCCCTTTGCACCTTGTAAGCTGATTTGACCGTGAAGCATCCTCTCGCATCAAAGTGCCACGCCAAAACATCCTCCATTTCAACATGCACAGGAATGGATTTAATAGCTGCGACGTCCTCTTCCCAAAAAGTTTGTGACAGCAAATCTTCATCCCAAGTTCCAGTATAAGGGTCAATCAGTTCCTCCACTTTTGTCACAAGGTTAGCGCCTCTGGGTGTCATAGGTTTCCTTGACCATCCCCTCGGGATCCAGGGATCCGCCCAGATGTTAATCTTCGATCCATCTCCCACCCTCCATATCATCCCATTTTGCAACACTCTGAGACCCTTCTGTATGCTTCTCCAAGTATAGGAAACATTTGATGTCTGCTTTGGCCGGAAACAGTCCCCCAGAGGGAAGTATTTAGCTCTAAGAACCCTTGAGCACAGAGAGTCAGGGTCCTGAATCAATCTCCATCCTTGCTTGGCTAGCATCGCTAGGTTGAAAATGTAAATGTCCCTGAAACCTAAGCCCCCCATATTTTTTGGCAATGTCAATTTATTCCAACTTAACCAATGCATCTTATTGTCCTTCTCCTGGTTGCTCCACCAGTACTTCGCTATCATCTTGCTAATCTGATCGCACAAATCCTTTGTCAACTCAAAACACCCCATTGCAAAGGTGGGAATTGCTTGTGCCACTGCCTTGATGAGGATTTCTTTGCCAGCTCGGGATAGTAGCTTCTCCTTCCACCCTTGAATGCGCTGCCATATCCTCTCCTTCAGATACGAGAAGATCTTCGTCCTTGACCTCCCAACAAAGACCGGGAGCCCTAGGTATCTTTCATTTGTGGTTTCACGTTGCATGTTTAGTGCAGCCATCACTGCCCTTTTCTCCAAACTACTGGTATTTGGACTGAACATCACTGCTGATTTGTCCTTGTTTATCACTTGTCCAGAGCACTCCTCATATATCTGCAAGATCGTTTGTAATTGCTGTGCTTCCCCTCCATTCGCGCGACATAGGATCAAAGAGTCGTCCGCGAACAGCAAGTGTGAAACACTTGGAGCGCCCTGACAAATGCGAATTCCATGCAGTCTGCCCTCCTCCTCCGTCTTGCTCAACAAAGCCGAAAAACCTTCAGCACACAGGAGAAACAGATATGGAGACAGCGGGTCTCCCTGTCGTAACCCTCTTCCAGGCGAGAAGCTCTCCGATAATTCCCCATTGACTCGGATTCTGTACGTTACTGTGGAAACACACTTCATAATCAAATTCACCCAATCAGTGTGAAAACCTAGCTTGAGAATCATATCATGGAGGAAACTCCATTCCACCCTATCATAGGCTTTACTCATGTCAAGTTTAAAGGCCGCATAACCTACTTGCCCAGACCTCTTATTTCTCATATAGTGTGTCATCTCATCCGCGATTAGGATATTATCAGAGATGAGTCTTCCAGGAACAAAGGCACTCTGCGCGGGGGAGATTACATCCGGCAAAATCTTCTTTAGTCTATTAGCCAAGACCTTAGACACCAATTTATAGCACACATTACACAAGCTGATCGGGCGAAGATCTTTAATTAGTTCAGGTTTTTTGACCTTTGGGATCAGGACTATAGTTATATCGTTCCAGCCTTCTGGGATTGCTCCACCCCTGAGAACCTCCAGCACCTCATCTGTCACCTTCTCACCCACTACATCCCAACAAGCTTTGTAAAACCCCGCCGGCATCCCGTCCGGGCCTGGAGCTTTCAGGTCACCAATGGCATCTAGGGCTTCTTTAACTTCTTCTCTTGTAAACTCTGCCCGGAGCGACTCATTCATGGCCCCCGATACTTTCCTATCCACCACATCCAGGAGCTTCTGCGAGTTTTGACCCCCATTTGAGGTAAATAGTTGTTTGAAGAATTCGATTATCATCGCTCTTTTGTCTTCCTCCCTTTCCACCCAGGAACCATCCTCTCTTCTTAGCTTGTTTATCCTATTTCGTCTTCTCCTCTCAGAACAGCTGGCGTGAAAGAATGACGTGTTTCGATCCCCCTTATTGAGCCAATTGGTATGAGCTCTTTGCTTCCAATAGATATCAACCTGTTGCTCAAGCTTTTCCAACCTATAACGAAGCACTTCCTCCCGGACAACTTGGTCCCTGCTTATTGGTTGACGACGGCAGGTTTCCAGCTCCTTTTTCACTTTCTTCACTCGTTTTTCCAGATCCCCAAGAACATTTGAGCTCCAGCTCGATAGGCCAGCCGCCACCCCCGCCAAGGATGCATGGACCGGTAGTCCCTGAAGACCAGCCGACACATCCCATGCTTCTTTCACCACTTCCTTGAATTTCTCCTCTTCTAGCCAGGCTGCCTCGAACCGAAAATCATTATGGCCATTTCTTCCTCTTACACCCTTGTTCTTCCCTTCCAGCTCGATAATAACCGGCCTGTGATCAGAGTGACGCGGGTCGCCGTTTATCACTCTTGCAGCTGGAAACATTGCTCTCCATTCGGGATTGGCGACCGCCCTATCAAGCCGTTCCCTGATATACCCTTCCTGCGAGTGACTGTGGTTTCTCCAGGTAAAAGCGTCACCCTCAAATCCCAAGTCATCTAGGCCACAGTCTGTCAGAGCGTGCCGGAACTCATCCATCGCAGATTGAGCCTTCATCCTTCCACCTTGTTTCTCATGGGAGAACAAAATCTCATTAAAATCCCCCGCCATCAACCAAGGAGTTGTTGGGTTGTCTATCAGCCCTCTCATTGTGGTCCAGGTTCTATGCTTTGTTTCAGAATGTGCATCTCCATACAAACCTGTGAAACGCCACATTGTCCCCCCAGCATCTCTTACTTCTGTGTCGATGTGATATTTGGAGAAGCTCCGAACTACCACATCAACCCCCCTCCTCCATAACACAGCAATTCCCCCCCCCTTTTCCTTCACAGTCTTTCACCACCATGTTCGTTAGCCCCACCATCCACCTCAAACGCTGCATCCTTCTCTCATCCATCTTTGTTTCTGACAAGAAAATGATGTCAACATTCTCTGCCTTCTGGAAATCCAGAAGCCCCCGAACTGCCGGGCGGTTTCCCAACCCCCGACAGTTCCAAGCCGCGATCTTCATTGATCCGCACAGGGCTGGATCGCCAGCCCCGCCTTCTTTGTTGGTTTTTCTCCCTCATCGCCACCCCCGGCAGATCTCCTCCTCTTTCCTCCTACTCCCTCCTCCGGTCCCCCCTTCTCCGGCTCGGTAAGCTTGGGATGCCCGTTTTTAGCCCCCCTCTCCTCTCTGGGTATTCTTTTAAAGGTTTTCTTCATCACTACCCCCGATGCACCTCCATCTACTAAACCCTCATCTGGAACCGAATCGACGTGCATGGCTTGCATGGCACTGTCGACTTGTTTCCCCGCTTCACCTTTCTTCGCTGCCTCCCCCTGGGCTGTGCCAGCAACATAACTCACGTCGTTGATCACTTCCTGAGTGCTCACACACTTACTGGCCTCCACAGCAGCCCCCTTTTTGGATTGAAACAATGATTTCTTTGGTCGATCTGACCTCTCAGCTGGAAAGCCCATCTTCAAAGGGCTAGTTACTTCATCCTCACCCTGCGTGCCTTTCTCCTTTCCTTTCGAGCCATCTGTAATCTCCTTTCGCCAGGAAGGAGCGTCACTCCCTTTACAACTGCTGGCACCCGATTTCCTTTGCACTTGGAATCGACTGCCGCTAGTTTTATCACTGCTTCCACCCTCCCATCTTTTTTGTTCAGGAATGAAACGGAGGCTTTTATTAAACAAAGGGGCCTCCCCCTCTGCGAGCTTTTTCTCACACAACTTCTCCGTATGACCCACGATGCCACAGATATAACAGAAGTCAGGAAGAAATTCATACACCAGCGGGCACCATAGCGGCCTTTCATCTGCACCCACAAACAAGGTCACGCCTCTCATGAGAGGTTTCCTGATATCTATCCGGATCTTGATGCGAAGGAATTGGCCCACAGCTGATCCATCCTCCTCTAAATCCATCGTCATGAATTCTCCAACCTCCCTGCCGATCGCCATACCCGTCTCCTTGGTCATCAGTCCTAGAGGTAATTTCATGGCCCTTACCCAGATCGGGACAAAGGCGAAGATCATATCCTCTATCAGCTTGGAATTTGAATACGCATCCGAGGCCGCCATCTTCCTTCGGCTTCCTGTTCCGGGTAGTGGATCGCGTTTGGGCGGCCATCTGGCCCATTAACACGTTTGTGAAGCCTGTTTTGTGATTTCTCCTTTGGTCGGACCCTCCGTTTTTTAATATAATATAAAAGGGAGTACCTATACATCTTTCGAAAGATTTTTATGATCGTATCACACAGATTTTTAATCTTTAGATTAAAATCCGATAGATATAATAAAAAGCAAAAAGCAATTAAGAAACACCATAATGGACACTAAATTACCATATCCTCAAGAAAAAGACCAAATCCAATACAAAATTTAAAATTTACATGCGAAGATTCAAAAATTACAGTGTAACTTACAAAAGTTACAGTGTAAGTTTCATAAATTACACTGTAACTTACAAGAAAATGCACTGTAAATTTGAGTGAGAAAATCGAGTGAGAGATAAGAAAAAATCTTTCGTGTGAGATATAGCAAAATCGAATATAAAATGGTGACGTTGACTTTTGGATGCTTAATGTTATTCAAAAGTTTTGTGTAAATGCATGAGATATAAATCAAACGTGATAAAACAACTCAAAACAAAACTAAATTATAATTACGTTTTATTTAATAAGACGATATAATCAAATGTGTATAAAAAATCAGTGACGTCTCCCGGTCAAAAAAAAAAATCAGTGACGTCATTCTACTAAAGATTGAAAGTAATACTCCCTCCATTCCAAATTGATCTACATATAGTTTTTTTTGGAGGTTATTCATAAATGATCTACATATTTGTGTTCATTCATTAAGTCTATTCGTTATTTGTGCATTGGAGTAAATGGACATTGATGTATGCATTCATGCACACAAGTATTTATAACCCACATGCAATAACTTGATTTGCTATTGGCTAAGAGATAGTGGGGATGGTGCATGCATCGAGTTTGTTGCTAGAGTAAATATAGTATGAGAGAGTTATTAGTTTTTCTTGATCTTGGTGTACCTATGAAATATGTAGATCAATTTGGAATGGAGGGAGTATATTTTAAGCCTAAATTTATTTTGGGCTGTTGAAATTTAAAAGAAAATATTACAATCCATAGAATATACAATGTTATATAACATTGACCTGTGTAAACATTTCTTCCGACACAAAATTAAGGGTTAATTACATCCATATGCTATTGTAAATTTCAAATTTTAAAATATGACATCTCTATTTATTTATTTGGCATCATGCCATTACGATGCATATAAAACGAAAAAGTACGAATTACCCTCTGAACTATCGCGATCGACCGAATTACCCCCTGAACCCGAAAATCAGACATTGCTCACCCTGAACTTTCAATACTGAACGAATTACCCCCCTCGACCCAATCCAGAGCAGTTTTGTCCTACGTGGCTTACGCGTGACAATCCAGTCAGCATTTTCTTTTTTTAAAAAATTATGGGACCCACCTGTCATACCTCCCCTTCCTCTCTTCCTCTCTCTCTTCACTCACTCACTCTCTCTCTCTCTCTCACACGGGGTGGCGTAGGGGCGGGAGGTGGGTGGTGGGCGCAGCTGGGTCATGAGCAGCTGGCGGCGAGCAGCGGCGGGCGTAACCCACGCGCACGGCACAGTGATGCCGATGACGGAGGCAAAGGTGAAGTAGTGGAAGCCACAGACGGCGCGGCAGAACTCTTCCACCTGTCATACCTCTCATCAACCCATTCCATCTCTCTCACGCACGTGCTCGGGCTAGGCAGCGGGTGACCTGCGGCGGAGGCGGAGCTCCCCAGGCAGCGGCTGGCTAAGGTGGAGCCAGCGGACGGCGGTGGAGATGGACCTCCCGGGGCAGTGGGCGGTGCTGGCGGAGGCAGTGCGGGCGGCTGAGGCAGAGGCGAAGGCAGAGATCCCCGGACGGCTGAGGTGGAGGCAGAGCGGGCGGCCAGCGGACGGCTGATGCGAAGGCAAAGGTGGAGATCCCCGGGCGGCATATGTGGAGACAGAGCGGGCGGCTGAGGCGGAGTCGGAGTGGGCGGCTGAGGTGGAGGCGGAGGCGGAGCTCCCCGAGCGGTGAGCGTAGGTTGGGCGGGCGTGGAGGGACGCCTACGACCGACGCACCACGCTCCGGGCACTCGGGTGTTAGCAGACCATAGCCGTGGTGGCGGTGGCGATGGCGCGGGAGAGACCGCCGCCTCCATGTCCTGTGCCGTTGCCTCCGTGTCCCGCACGTGCCGCCGCCTGCTGCCGCCCACCGCCTGCATGCTACCGTGCACAAGAAAGGAAGAGTGAGAGAGAGAGGAAGAGGAGAAAGAGGAGGTGAGAGAGAGTGACAGGTGGGCCCACCATTTAAAAAAATGTAAATGCTGATTAGATTGCCATGCGTACGCCACGTAGGAAAAATCACTTTGGATTGGGTCGAGGGGGTAATTTGTCCGATATTGTAAGTTCAAGGTGAACGATGACTGGTTTTTGAGTTTAGGGGGTAATTCGATGGACTGCAGGTAGTTCAGGGGGTAGGGGGTAATTCGTACTTTTTTCCATATAAAATCGATACAAGTACGTCCGAGACAAAGTATTGAATCTTTTTGATAGGAAACATATGGGCCTGAGCCCATGAAGCCCATCCTATATACACTTATTAGGCCTACACCTAAACCTACCATATATAAAATTTAGTTATATAAGGCGGAGGGGTGCTACTCATTGTACTAGTGAACATGAAGAAATGATTGAGAAATAGGCATACCCTCATATCTCCGTGTCTCCAATTCTTGTTGAATTATACAACCACTCTGGACTACACATCTAGCACACGACGTTCTACCAGAGACCGAGAAAAGAAGAATGGTAAGAACTCGCAGATTCATTTTGCATCTCGTTGATTCAATTGCAAAAAATGAATTCCTCTCCCCGTTCTCGTTCTGCTTTTGCCATTCCCAACGAAATTCACCACAGCTGACTAGGAGTCGCCAGCACATGCCGATTGGTCGAAACCGCACGTGGTCAGCAAACACTGCGTTGGTGTGCCGGCGACGCACCATGGCAGTGAACCCGCACCATGGCTGCAAGCTCGCGCATGCTACAGCACAGCCACAAGTCTGCGCCGGCAACGCACACTGGCTGTGCCCCGCGCTGGCGTGCACTCGGCAGCAATCCGCGCCACGGCCGTGCCCGAGGCCGCGTGTTGATGGTCGTTATTGACCAATTTCGACCGTCAATATATCCAGAATAAAGGAGAACTAGCAATGCTTGCAATATATATTTCATTAGAAATAATCTATCTCCACCGAGATCTTCACATAAATGAAGGAAAATCGATGGAAAATAACCAAACAATCAATCGAACCCCGTCAAGAGGCAGACCTATGGTTGGATGGGCCCATAAACTCTATTAAACATCTATACCACTGGGTTAAGGAGTCATGAGAGGAGGCCCAAGAGGAAGCAGCAGGCTGGGGAGCCAGCCAAGGTTCGGCCGAACCTCCGCTGAGGCCTCTCATCCTAGTCTTCCATGTGGATGCTCCTAATCACTCCCCAATAACGGTTGCAGGACATTTCAGACATTTTCAACCGCCATAACCATCATTGGCAGCCTATTGAAGGACCTCATCACCTCCATTCCAAAGTGCACCAAGAAGGATCATTTCAAGAGCAATATTTTTAGTACAGCACCAAAACACTACTTTGTGCAATATTTTTAGTACAGCACCATTTCTCCTTTATGTTTGTCGTTCTTTTTGTTGAGCATACATTTTTAGAGGTGCCATCTGCCAGCTTTGAAGCTAATTTTTTATGAAAGCTTTAGCTCATATCCATATTCGTGACGGAAAAATGGTTTGTTCGCATTGGTTTAGGCAAATGGCATTCTCATTTTTACCATTCTACTGCCTCTAGACCCCAGTTGCAAGAACAAAATTCAAATCATAAAAATTAAATATTGAGATTTGGAGCACTACAAACAATATTCTTTCTAAAAATAGATGCAATTCTTCTGAGTCCATATGATGCATCTTTTGGAGTGATTAGGATCTGATCATGAGAATTATCCAGTTATGCACCTATTTAAATAATCTCTCAAAATGTGTATGATTAATGCAACGAGTTCAATAATTTATCATGATGCCTAATCTAATCCTTTTTACTCAATTATCTTGCAGGCAATCTTGATAAATTAATTGCTCTACTTTAGAGAGTTTTTTAACTACAGGCAGGTGAGATGACCACCAGCACAGTAGCTCATTACAAGAGCAGAAATTAACCGGAGTGAAGATTGTTTGGCAGCTGAAACTGCACTGTGTAGACAGTAGCCCTTGCTTGAGAAGTGATGGCCATGACTTTGAGCCTTTGATCATCTGGAACAGCAGCACTTCAGTATGCAATGCAAGCTCTTGGAACTTGGAAGTGGCCATATACATTGTGTAAAATATACATCAATTACTACTATCCTTTTCATCCATCAGAATTGTGTTACTTGCCGTCTACGGTTTAACATGGCACTCTACCACCAAAATTTGTTGTAAACATGGTATCTAAGCACTGCTTGAGTGATCCAACTATTTAGCACTCAGAAAATCCACCACTAAGTTATGTGGACAATTTTTTTTTCTTATTTACATTCTAAGCTTCTAGCAACGACACAAAATAGGAATCAAATTGAACAATACGCAGGGGGCGCGCCCCATCATCTAGTTATGCTAATTACGCGCGTCTTCCCACCTTCGCATGGTGGGCAAGGCCGAAACCGCGCGTGAGGTCGTAGGCCAAAAAAACATGCGCAACTTCGCTCGCCAAGGCATCGGCGCGGAATAGGAAAAACGCATATAGATATATAGGGCGCGCATACTAAAACTTGTGTTACTCATTTAAATGAGAAAGGGTTATCGACCTACGCCTGCTGGCCCTTTTCGGCTTTTCGCGGTATGCCTTCTCTTTCCGTTTATGCTCTTGCTCTTGCTCTCGATCGCTTGTACATGGTAGAGGTAGTAGCTAACTGCTGAATATGCACAACTGATGTGCGCAACAATAGGATATGGAGTTCACCGTCAGCGCAGCACGGTGGGTGGTGGGCAGGGCGCTGGGCCCCGTCACCGGCGAGCTGATGGAGGCATGGGCGGCGAGCAAGAAGCTTGGCCCCAACATCCGCGAGCTCAAGCTCCTGCTCCTCCATGCGCAGGCGATGCTCGAAAATGCCGAGGGCCGGGACATCCGTAACGGTGCACTGGATCAGCTGCTGTCTCAGCTCCGGGACCTGGCGTACGACGCCGACGACGTGCTGGACGAGCTCGACTACTTCCGCATCCAGGATGAGCTCGATGGCACGTACGAGGCGGTCGACGACGCCGAGGAGGAGAGGGGCCTTGTCCGTGGCCTCGCCCTGCACGCTCGCCACACCGCGAGAGCCATCGCCAGAAAGCTGACGTGCAAGTGGAATGCCGATGCTCTGGTACCTGTTGACGACGCAGAACAAGGGCGATGCCTCTCTGCCACTGCTGTCGGTAAATTCCTCCCTTGCTGCTCCCCCCCAACTGTGCGTAATGTTGATTCCACTGCTGCGAAGGCAAATGAACAGCATCTCCAAGCCCCTAAATTGAAGTTTGTTAGGGTTGAAATGTCGAAAAAGATGTCAGAGATAGTAGAGCAGCTTAAGCCTGTTTGTGACGCTGTTGACAGAATTCTTGGGCCACTACAGCCTTCAGGCCACTCCAAAAATGCCAAAACCCAATGCATTGATTTAGAAAAACGACCTAAAACCACCCCAACAATTATTGAGCCTGAATTATTTGGAAGGAAAGACCTTAAAAGGATCGTGGCAGATGAAATTATGATTGGCAAATACCGTGATAATGACCTTACCGTGCTTCCCATTGTTGGTCCGGGTGGTATCGGGAAGACAACTTTTACACAACACATATATGAAGAAGTGAAGAACCACTTTCAGATCTCCGTCTGGATATGTGTTTCTCAAAATTTCAATGCAAATGTATTAGCAAAGGAGATTGTAGAAAAAATGCCTAAGGGAAACAACAAAAAGGAAAATGAAAGTGACCAAGAGAAAATTGAGAAAAGAATACAATCACAGCAATTCTTGCTTGTCTTGGATGATGTGTGGGAATATCGTGAGGATGAGTGGAAAACCTTACTGGCTCCATTTAGAAAAGGAGGAACACAAGGAAATATAGTTATAGTTACAACTCGAAGGCCAGGGGTAGCAAAGGAGATCGACTCAACCAATTGCTCAATAAAATTGGACCGCTTGGATCATGAAGATTCTATGCGGTTATTCCAGGCATGTGTGTTTGATAACAACAAGACATGGGAAGATTATCCATCGGGTTTACAGAAAGTTGGGGTAGACATAGTGAAGAGATTGAAGGGTTTCCCTCTTGCTATAAAAACCGTAGGTCGGTTATTAAGGAATAAACTTACTTTGGACCGATGGACTAGAGTATATGAAAGTAAAGAATGGGAACTTCAGTCCAATGATGATGATATTATGCCGGCATTAAAGTTAAGCTATAACTATCTTCCTTTTCATCTACAACAGTGTTTCTCCTATTGTGCTTTGTTTCCTGAAGATTATAGATTTTGTGGACAAGAATTGATTAACTTGTGGATTGGACTGGGGTTACTTGGCACCGATGATCAAAACAAGACAATGGAGTATTTAGGACTAGAGTATTTAGACCAATTGGTTGACAATGGGTTTTTCGAACAGGTTGGAAAAGAGCATGACAGTCCTTATGTAATGCATGACCTGTTGCATGAGTTGGCAACAAATATTTCGTCACACGAAATTCGTTGTCTAAATAGTTCAACTTTGAGTTCTATCAACGAAATTCCCAAATCTATACGTCACATGTCTATCATAGTAGATAACAGACATGTTGAGAATAGAATCGCCTTTGAAAATCATAAGAAAGACCTGAGTACACTGGGAAACAAATTGAAAGCTGGGAACCTACGCACAATTATGCTTTTTGGAGAATATCATGGATGCTTTTACAAGATTTTTGGTGACGTTTTGATAGATGCAAAATCCCTTCGGGTTATTTTTTTGTCAGGGGCATCCTATGATGTTGGAGATGTGTTGTGTAACTTTTCAGAACTTGTACATCTTCGGTACTTAAGGATTGAAGATTCTGGGATGTGTGGAGCAAGTCTACCCAATAGTATCACAAGATTTTACCACTTATTGGTCCTTGATTTACAAGAGCACTATGGTGAATTGGGTTTTCCAAGGGACATGGGAAACCTTCTAAAACTACGCCATTTTCTTGTCCATGATGATAATATTCACTCTAGCATTTTTGAGGTGGGAAAACTAAATTTTTTACATGAGTTACGGAAGTTTGAGGTCAAAAGAGAAATGAAAGGTTTTGACTTGGAGCAAATTGGGCGACTACTAGTACTCCGTGGGTCACTGGGCATTTATAACCTTGAAAAGGTTGAAGGGATCAAGGAAGCAAATGATGCAAAACTAGCATATCTAAACCATTTGGATAGTTTAGTATTGGATTGGGATAATGAGCGATGTAATAGGGATCCTATCAGAGAAGGAAATGTTCTTGAAAATCTTAAACCACATGACAACATTCGAGAGCTGCACATTGCAGGGCATGGAGGCGTATCTTGCCCGAATTGGCTAAGTGGAGACCTCTCCATTAGAAATTTGGAATCACTTCTGATAAAATATGTAAATTGGGACACATTTCCACTTCCAGGAAAGTTGTACATGACTGAGGGTCAAGAGCGTCAGGGTTCTGTCACAAGCCACGACTTTCATAATCTGAAAAGGTTGGAGCTAGTTAACATACAAAAGCTGAAAAGATGGCATGGGGATGGTACCATTAATTTGCTCCCTCATTTGCAAAGTTTAACTATAAGTGATTGCCCTGAATTAACAGAGTTGCCACTATCAGATTCCACATCCTGTCAGTTTCAACAGAGCACGATTTGTTTTCCTAAACTACAGGAAATCAAGATTTCAGAATGTCCGAAATTGTTGTCATTCCCCCCTATACCTTGGACTAATTCTCTGTTGTATGTATCTATTGAAGGTGTGGATTCAGGTTTGGAGATGTTGAATTACAGTAAAGACGAATCAAGTCTGTATATCACAGGAAAAGATGCTCCGGATAGCATGTTTTGGAACGTGCTGGATTTCAATAATCTAACAGAACTGCAATTGTTGGGGATACAAAAGTGTCCTCCTATATCGTTGGATCACCTTAAAATGCTGACATGTCTCAAGACCCTTCAGATAACTGATTCAGGTAGCATATTGTTGCCAGTTGATTGTGAAAACGAAGTTAAGTATAATCTTTTAGTTGAGAATCTCGAGATCAATTCATATGGTGCTAGTGGGAGGGAATTGACACAGGTGCTCTCTCATTTTCCCAAACTATCAAATTTGCTGATACGGAAATGTCAGAACGTAGCAAGGCTCGGTGTGGCGGAGCAGCGAACAATAACAACTCCTGAATCATCACTATCACCATCAGCTAACAAAGCAGCCAAGACACTAACCACAATACTGCAGCAGCAGACAGGAGAAGCGGAGGAGATGGAAACAGCAACAGCAGACGATGGACTACTTCTCCTGCCTCCCCAAATAAAGGTGTTTGAAATCAGTGAGTGCAGAGAGCTAAGCCTCGACAGCGGTGGAATCCAAGGTCTGCTCTCCCTCCAAACGTTGGGGATATATGATTGCCCCAAGCTCCTCTGCTCCTCTTCCTCCTCGTATTCCCCTTTCCCGACCTCCCTGCAAACACTCGATCTCTCGAAAGTGGAGGGCATGGAGACCCTGCCTTCTCCTCTCCCAAACCTCACCTCGTTGTCGATTACCAGTTGCGGCAATCTCAGAGGGGGCGAGGTGCTGTGGGATCTCCTTGCCCAAGGTAACCTCACCTCTCTATATGTCCACAAAACTCCCAATTTCTTCCTTGGTTTAGAGCAGTCCTGCTCCCAGGTGGACAAACAAGAAGACGTGCATCGTTCCTGGAGGTTGCAGGAACTCTGGACGGATGACTTTGCAAGGGTTCTTGCTACACCTGTTTGCCATCTCCTCTCTTCCTCCCTAACCAAATTAGTCCTTAGTTGCAACGATGAGGTGGAGTGCTTCACAAAGGAGCAAGAGAAGGCCCTTCACATTCTCACCTCCATTGAGGACCTAGAATTTTATTGCTGCGAAAAACTGCAGTCCCTCCCTGCTGAGCTTAGTCAAATCCCCACCATCAAGACATTATGGATTTCTTGCTGTCCAGCCATCAGCTCGCTTGGAAACCTCCCCAATTCACTGCAACGACTAGGGATTTCTTGCTGTCCAGCCATCAGCTCGCTTGGAAACCTCCCCAATTCACTGCAACAACTAAAGATTGATGACTGTCCATCCATCAGCTCGCTTGATGGCACAACCATCCGCTCACTGCCCAAAGACCGCCTACCAACTACACTCCGAGAAATAGACGTCCGTTACTGTCGCAACGAGGAGCTAAAAAGGCAGTGCCGGAAGCTTCAAGGAACTATCCCAATTGTAAAGGCCTAGCTTGCACCAAGGTAACAAGCACTTCAATCTCTCTACTACTCTCTCTTCTTCCCCATATTTCACTATCCAGTTGCTGCTCTTTCCATTTTCTTCCTAGCACATCAACATCAGTTCATTCTTTTTTTTTTTTTTGCAGGTACCATGTGGGGTTCTTATAGCCCTGCTCTATCTGCATTTGTTACTGTGACTTGGTACATACATACAAGTATACAACTGGTTAGTCATCACTCATCATCCCCATAGAACCTACAAATGCGGAACTGATGCCTATTGTTTTTGTTACTTGGATGCTTCCAACTTTCTTATATTCAGTTGGTCAGAGCATCACTATCTTTTACACAATTTTAGAATTTGTTGTTGAACCCTCTGCTGTTTTCTGAATAAATAACATAACTTATTATAATCTCTCATAATAAGTTATGAGAGAAGGCCCTTCACATTCTCACCTCCATTGAGGACCTAGAATTTTCGAGGTGCAAAAAACTGCAGTCCCTCCCTACTGGGCTTAGTGAAATCCCCAACATCAAGACATTAGGGATCTATGGATGTCTTGCCATCAGCTCGCTTGGAAACCTCCCCAATTCACTGCAACAACTAGAGATTTCTTCCTGTCCAGCCATCAGCTCGCTTGGAAACCTCCCCAATTCACTGCAACGACTAGGGATTTCTTACTGTCCAGCCATCAGCTCGCTTGGAAACCTCCCCAATTCACTGCAACAACTAGTGATTTATGACTGTCCATCCATCAGCTCACTTGATGGCACAACCATCGGCTCGCTACCCAAGGACCGCCTACCAACTTCACTCCGAGAAATAAACGTCCGTTCCTGCGGCAACGAGGAGCTAAAAAGGCAGTGCCGCAAGCTTCAAGGAACTATCCCAATTGTACAGGCCTAGCCTGCACCAAGGTAACAAGCAATTCCATCTCTCTACCACTCTCTCTTATTCCCCATATTTCACTAACCAGTTGCTGCTCTTTACATTTTCTTCCTAGCACATCAACATCAGTTCATGCCGTTTTTGTTTTTTCCTTTTTTGCAGGTACCATGTGGGGTTCTTATAGGCCTGCTCTATCTGCATTTGTTACTGTGACTTGGTACATACATACAAGTATACAACTGGTTAGTCATCACTCATCATCCCCATAGAACCTACAAATGCGGAACTGATGCCTATTGTTTTTGTTACTTGGATGCTTCCAACTTTCTTATATTCAGTTGGTCAGAGCATCACTATCTTTTACACAATTTTAGAATTTGTTGTTGAACCCTCTGCTGTTTTCTGAATAAATAACATAACTTATTATAATCTCTCATATTCAGAATAGGATTCCATCAGTTGCTTGTAGTGCCTTTGAATCAAATTAGAATATAGTAAAGGAGATATATGTATAGTTTTCTACTTAGAAAGGAAAACATGATTTATTATTTTTTTTATAGAATATGACAACTGGTTTTCAGGTACAGTATACTAACCTTTACAATGAACTGCAGATCCCTTTTCTTTCCTTTGTCTGGCAACGGAGGTAGCATATTGACGACATATGTAAACATGGGTTTCTTGAATGAATGAGTGCCTTGATGGCTTTATGTTACATATAAGATCTATTATTTCTTTTAGTACTGGTATATATTATCAGTGATGCAAGAAATGGATTTACCATGCGAAGAGCAAGAATGGGCATGGGCTCTGTATCATATGGTGGGACGAAATCCTACAGAATGATGGGAGAAACATCTGCTTGGTTGGGTTAAGGCAAATTCTGATGGAACTTTTCTGGTGGCAAACTCAAAGGGCGCGTCTGGAGTGGCCTTGAGAAATGGAAGTGGCAATTTCCTTGTGGCAGCTACCCACTTCTACCCTTCACTGTGTGATGCTACAATGGCAGAAGCGTTGGTGTGTCTTCAGGCAGTGCAGCTAGCGAGTGAATTGGGTGTTTCAAAGGTAATCCTTGAGACCGATAGTCTGGAAGTTCAGAAGATGGTAGCTGATGTGGAAGTTAACAGATCGATGTATGGCGCAATAGTCCAAGGTTTTAAGCATTGGCTAAGTTATTTTCAAGATTTTAGGATCAAATGGATCCGTCGGTTGGCCAATATGACTGCCCATACTTAGTCAGTATATTCTTGACTAGTCCAACTCTCTGAGGTAACAGGTACTTTCCACTCTCTGGAGCTATTCTCAATTTCCACATTCCCAACTCACCAACATGAGGTCATTCTATTTTATGACAGGATAGCTCTCTCTAATTTTTTGTGACAACAATGTTATATAATAGATCTTCTTCTATGCATAATTAATACAAGAAGTTCAATTGTTTCAAACATGCAAAATTGGATTTTTCAATTGTAACAAAAATTAAGAAAATACGGCAACAGCAAGCTCATTGATGTTACCGTTTCTCCAAGCTGCACATGCTGACGATGAATGCCTTTGCAGGGGTCCTTGCTGTATTAATTTGTCACATAGTCCTCTCTTCCTTCCTTACCACTTTAGTCCTGCTTGGAACGACGGGGAGGATACATATGGTAACAAGCACTTCCTTGTCTACAATTTTCCCATTTTCTACCGACCAATTGTTGTTCTTTCCATTTTTCCTATCTCGTCAACATGAGCTTATTCTGTTTTTGCTGTGTGCAGAGTCCTTGCCGAACATGACCTTGCTTTTAGCATCTTATAATTCTACTCTATACTACATCTATTAAGTCAGAGATTTCCAACCATCAAGACTCCAACCTGTACTTTCGGTTGTGTACATAGAATTGGTTAGTATGCGCAAAATCCCTCCCATATAAACTACAGTATGAAGACCTATTGTTTATTGCTTTCGATGTTTCTACTTTTATGATCCTCTTTATAGGCTAGGAGAATGCAATTTCTACTATCTAAATAAATAGTTCTTCTAACATTCTATTTGTTTTAGTTGTTGATCATGACTTCATTCTTTCAAAAAGAAAAGTAAGTTGCCCGGTTTTAACTGAAAGAATAACAACATCTTGTAATAGGTGGTGGAGTTTACAACTTACAGTCCAAAATCACCAAAATCAGTAAGTCTAAACCAATTCACTGACCATAGTGAAATCATTTTTTAGCATCCCTTTTTCAATGGAGCAGGCAACATTGATCTCTTTGGTATCGTCTACTTGATGAAGTGGCATCACCCTTAAAAGCCAGAACCCGACGAAGGCAGAGCAGCTTGGCATGGAGCAAGCATCTGAAAGTTGTCTACCACCTCTGCCAATCTCGCTGGAACCAAAAACCTCCACTGCTTCGAAAGCAACAGAACCTTGTAAGCTAGCTATAACAAAACCAAAAGCATCTTTGATTTGAGGCTAGCAACTCAATAGATTTTTCTGTTCCTACTCTAAGTTTGTGGGAGCATTATCTTTCTTAATCAACTCTTCTTCAAGTGGTCTTGTTTTTTTTTCTGAAAACAAATTTACTAATGCAAAATGCATTGTTCTTTCAGACATACAGAACTGGATGTTCTAGTTGCATTTAGTTCATCTGCATAAAATTTAGCAATAACAATAAGGATATTTGTAGCCTACCTTCTCAGAAACGGAGGTTTGACTTTCTTGTTTCTTCTTATTCTTTTCTTTTTGCTATTAATTGTCGAAATGGGCTGCTCTTATCTGTACTACACTACTTTTTGTATCGGGACAGTATAACGCTGCATGAATTACACAACTACTTTCTTGTTCACTGTCTGCTTTAAGAGTTAAAGAGGTATAGCCCAAAACCTTAAAAAACAAGACTAATAATAAAAGTCGTGTACTCTTGTATACTTTTCCTAAGTCATAAGCATGAATTCGTTGTGTTTTTTGTTTTATTGCATGGTTTGTTTTGAAATGTACTTTGTTGTACCTTAATATAAAATTCTATTCTATCTGCATTTACCCAAAGTCATATGCTCTGGAAAATGACTAATTTCCATCTGGTTAAAAGAGAAACTGTCAGTGCATGCAAAATGACCATAGCACACTAACAAGAAACTCAAGTTCCAAACCTCGCAGGAAAAAAAAAAGGATATTTAACCTACAGTAGAAGATCTGTTACATTGTTTCTAGTTATTTTGGAGCCCTTAAGAGTCCAATATTTCAGGATTCCACTTCTGTTTTACTTAATCGCTTCCAGTTTTTAGGCTTATGAATTGTGATACATAAGTACTATCATTTGAAAGTTTCTGACAAAAATATATATTGTATATTCTCTTCTGTCAATAAATAACACAATAATTTGTTTTGTTTCAGACATCCAGAATTCGATTCCCTCAGTTGGCTGTACTATCTGTAAATCAAATTTGAAGATAACAAAAGCAACAGCTTGTTTATCAATTCAGGAACTGAGAAGTCTGGTTTCATGGTATAGTACTTTTCTCACTCTTATATATCCATTAGATAGTGCAATTTGTTCTTTCCCTTTTTGTTGCAACAAAATCAATTTTATGATTTATGTGGACTGTTTTGCAGTCAGTATGAGCTTCTTGAATGGACCTATATAAGTCTTGATAACATTTTTTTTTCTTGAAGGTAAGTTTTGATAACTTGATGTTATATAGATCTCTTCTTGAGTTTTATACTGTTGTGTTCTTAGTTATAAATGCACCTGCTGTTTGTTAATTTTGTTAATCCTACAACAATTCAGGGGCTTAGAATGGTTATACTACTTTCTTAGCCTATTTTTTACTGCTTGGAATATGATGCTGGCCTCATGATCAATGAAACCTGCAAATGTGCAGAGCTTCTATCGGCGGCGGCGCCAGCTCCCATCGGTGACAGTGGCAGCCATCGGCCGGTGGGCTCCTATCGGATGCAGGTTCCATTGGCTGTGGCATAGAAATCCTATTGGCCCCAAACTACCATCGGCGCCCAAGTTCCCCTCGACTTCCCGTCCACAGCGTGGGGGCAGGTATTTCTCTGAATCTAATTTGCACTGCAAACGCAGGTACCATTCAGTGATTATAATTGATTTGCACAGTGTTCCTGCATTGATTTTCCTTCCCTATTTGTGGTATGGTTAAGCCGTGATGCTAGCCATCGGTACGCTTGCTAAAATGCCTATAACTCTGTAACAGTGGAAGATTCAGGCTCCCCCTTCCCCACACCAACCAACCCGTCGTGGTGGTTGCAGCCCCAGCCTGCTGGTTAGTTCGTTACTTTTAAAAGATTTCGCTAATTACATTCTGCCAAAATTGTGTGATTCTCCTTGAATTGTTGCTTCATAGATGTAAAAAAAATGTCACATAGATGTTCATTCAGTCCCTGCACACAAAAAATTCAGACAAATGTTCGTGAGATATGTACTGTAAGGACCATATTATAATTGTTGATGGTCTTAAGATTGTTTTTTTTTTCTGCCAATGATATTCATCACTTCACCTCAAATTTATTTATTATGACCTAAATCAAATTAAAGCTCAACAGATGCTGGTATTAGATCAGTTTTCAGTGATATTTGCATGGCAATCTTTGGTGATGTTTGCATGACATACTGCAATTGCACTTGAGTTGAGGCAAAGTTAAATTGAAGTTTGATGATGCTATTCAACGTCTACACACACTTATGTGTTTGCAGCTACTTCGATCCTACATATGTGGTGTTACTGAAATAGATTCAAATCTTTAGGTGGTGATTTATTAAGTTTTATCTGATCATCAGTTTTACTATTTTGATTACTACTTTCAACCTTTTCTCTTGGCACAGGAGTGCTTATGTTAAAAATAGGAACAAAGTAACTGCATATATTTTCAAATGGTTGGAGTTCTATATTTTTACCAGTGTCAGTGATATTCGTGATAAATATTGGCTTGCAAACGTCATCAACTGTGCATACCTTTCTGCTATCTTTTTCTCTAATTTTTATGCATTATATTCTTGCGCATGGAAGCTATAAACGTCCCTGCTAAAATAGATATAATTTACTCTATTTTTTGTCATCATGTGCCTATTGTCAGGTCAGGAGTACTGAGATTTTTCCTTGATTTTATTATAGCATAGCTATGCACTCCTGTAATGCTCAGGGGATGTGTGGGACTCAAAAGCTGGGGGGCATAAGGCTTATTTTCTTCATGTGAATGGCCCTTCACATACTTCAGAAAAATGGCTACGATCTTGTGTTGAAAAACTTGATTGAAATCTTATTAGTATTTTGCAAGTTTGTAGTCATTTGCCAATTTTATGTTCATCAATTCAACAAGATGAGTGGTATGATACTACCATATGAAATTAATTAAAGCTGAATTTGCTGCTACTTTCAGATGCAAGAGCAGCATTCGAGGTGTTTCATTCAAGGAACAGAAGCAGCAGAGGTGACACCGTTGATGGAGCCATACATGCTGCTATTGTCAGCGAACGCCGAGTCCGGCAACATGACGAGGTGAGAGGAAGTGACAGCGCAACTGCACAAAGTTTAGCATGTCATAAAAATTGATTATGCTTTGTATATGAGCATCTAAGAGGCAACTATTATGCGGATTATGGATTATGACAGTTCTGCTAATAAGTTGTTATTTGCATAATCAGGGTGAACAATCTAGCTGTTTGGCAATTTTGATGAACACATTTGGTTGTCTGGCATGAGTGTATGATGACAGAATGCTCCGAAGAATATGAGTACTTGTTTGGCTGCCATTTTAGGTGTACATATCTGCCAATGATTTTGGTGTTTGCCATACAATCTGATTATATTCTAATTGGATACTATCTATAATTCGCTCCCCAAAGACAGTCTATTATTAATCTTTAAATCCATTGCATATGCTTTACAATTTAGATTGTCCAATTCATAGTGTTATAGTTGATTGACATCATTTGAAGGTTTTTGGAGTAACTATTATTGTATTCACAAATACATTTACAGAACAATAATGCACAAGTTTATTGTGCTTTCATGTTATTTAAGACCCGTTGCAATGCACGGGCATCAGACTAGTAATACAATAATTTGTTTTGTTTCAGACATCTAGAATTCGATTCCATCAGTTGGCTGTACTATCTGAAAATCAAATTTGAAGATAACAAAAGCAACAGCTTGTTTATTACTTCAGGAAATGAGAAGACTGATTTCATGGTATTGTACTTTTCTCAACCTTATACATATATATTAGATAGTGCAGTTTGTTCTTTCCCTTTTTTGCAACAAAATCAATTTTTATGATCTATGTGAACTGTTTTACAGTATGGGCTTCTTTAATGGACTTAATCTTGGATAGTTTTTGTTTTGCTTGGGTAAGTCTTGATAATTTGATGGTATATACATCTCTTCTCGAATTTTATACGGTTGTGTTCCGAGCCGTAAATGCTCTTTGCCTCTTTGTACCAGGATATTAGTAATGCTACCATAAAGTGCATTCATTGTAAGCCAGGGCAAGAGTGAAGCCACTTCAGTTTGGTTCTGTGAATACCAAGTAGATGAGATGCAGCACTAGACTAGTTCGCAAATATCAATGTCATATCTGCAAATTCACAATTGGATGACTATCCTTTTGTCGGGTGGATTTGAATCATTTCAGTGTGTTCTTGACTTGTATACGATTTCAGCTGTATAAATTGAGTGAATATTGGATTAAAACTCAGGGATTGTTTGTTTGCAGCATATTCAGCAATGTGGTAGATGAGTAGGAAGTAATTTTTTGGGGAAATTTTCAGATTGTTAAAAGGCTTTGATCTGCATTGAAGGAGAGGTTCAAGTTATTTGGATCTGTGCTTTTGCTATTTACTATTTGAACTGTGCAAAAGGTTGATGATCGTTTGATAATTCATTCGATGAGAGCTCCTCCTCCAACTTCTTTTGATCAAAGTAGTGCTTCACACAAATATGTAAAGAACAACACAGATACCAATCTTGAAATCGGTGTTTGGTGATCTATGAACGGTTGATCGCCACACAGACCACAACGAGTATGGTCTACATGGGCCACGGCAAGCATAATTACAACATGAGTAAATTTCACAAAACCCCTAGCTAGAGTTTTGGGAACCCAGTAACGCAAAATGCCAGGTTTTGTGATTTATTTCTTGGACTTGGGGCAACTTAATCAATTCACAAAAAAAATCAAGGATTAGCCACTGCTCAATATACTTATTGGCGAATATTTAAAATATCAAGATTTCTGTGTTTTGGATGGACAAATTTGTACAAGAGCAGAAGATCATGCCAATTACAGATCAACTAGTAAGTTACGAAAAACAACAGCTGCATTTCGCTTGTCCTAATAATCAAAGAACTTGGTCAGTTTTCACCATCTGCTGAAGCATTGGCAGAAAGGTTTTGAGCTTCTAAAAGCTTCATCTGCCGCTCAGCATGCTCCCGCTCGCATTGGCTACAGTAGGAGATCTGTTACATTTTTGTAGTTATTTTGGTGCCATTAAAAAATCCAGTATTTCAGGATTCCACTTCTGTTTTACTTAATCGCAGATTTGTTTTACTTCCAGTTTCTTTGCTTATGAATTGTGATACATAAGTACTATCGCTTGAAAGTTTCTGACAAAAAATATCTATTGTATATTCTCTTCTGTCAATAAATAACACAAGAATTTGTATCATTTCAGACATCCAGAATTTGATTCCATCAGTTGGCTGTACTATCTGTAAATCAAATTTGAAGATAACAAAAGAAACAGGTTGTTTATTACTTCACGAAATGAGAAGGGTGGTTTCATGGTATGTGTGTGTGTGTGTGTGTATAGTGCAGTTTGTTCTTTCCCTTTTGTTGCAACAAAATCAATTTTTATGATCTATGTGAACTGTTTTGCAGTCAGCATGGGCTTCTTTAATGGACTTAGTCTTGGATAATTTTTGTTTCACTTGGGTAAGTCTTGATAATTTGATGGTATATAGATCTCTTCTCGAATTTTATACTGGTGTGTTCTTAGCCGTACATGCTCTTTGCCTCCTTGTACCAGGATATTTGTAATGCTACCAAGAAGTGCATTCATTGTAAGCCAAGGGCAAGAGCGAAGCTACTTCAGTTTTGGTTCTGTGAATACCAAGTAGAGGAGAAGCAGCACTAGACTAGTTCGCAAATATCAATGTCATCTGCAAATTCACAATTGGATGACTATCCTTTTGTTGGGCGAATATAAATCATTTCAGTGTGTTCTTGACTTGGTTATGATTTCAGCTGTATAAATTGAGTGAATATTGAGTTCAAACTCAGGGATTGTTTGTTTGCAGCATATTCAGCAGTGTGGTAGATGAGTAGGAAGTACTTTTTTGGGGAAATTTTCAGATTGTTAAAAAGCTTGGATCTGCATTCAAGAAGAGGTTCAGGTTATTTGGATGATTGTATCTGTGTTTTTGCTATTTACTATCTGAACTATGGAGAAGGTTAATGATCGTTTGATAATTCATTTGATCAGAGCTCCTCCTCCAACTTCTTTTGATCAAAGTAGCATACTTAACTGGTCTCTCTCTTCATCTTGCTTCACACAAATATGTAAAGAACACATATACCAATCTTGAAAACGGTGTTTGGTGATCTATGAACGGTTGATCGCCACACAGACCACAACAAGTATGGTCTACATGGGCCACGGCAAGCATAATTACAACATGAGTAAATTTCACAAAACCCCTGGTTGGAGTTTTGGAACCCCGGTAACGCAAAATGCCAGGTTTTGTGATTTATTTCTAGGACTTGGGGGCAACTTAATCAAATCACAAAAAAAATCAAGGATTAACCACTGCTCAATATACTTATTGGAGAATATTTAAAATATCAAGATTTCCGTATTTTGGATGGACAAATTTGTACAAGAGCAGAAGATCATGCCAATTACAGATCAACTAGTAAGTTACGAAAAACAACAGCTGCATTTTGCTTGTCCTAATAATCAAAGAACTTGATCAGTTTTCACCATCTGCTGAAGCATTGGCAGAAAGGTTTTGAGCTTCTAAAAGCTTCATCTGCCGCTCAGCATGCTCCCGCTCGCATTGGCTAATGCCCATGATGATATCAAGCATAGTTCCAGTAGTGCCAAAGAAAACCAGTGGTGCCAAGGATTTCTTCTTTATCCCCACAGGAATAGCAACAAGAGCACCAGCAACTGAGAAGAACCAGGTGCCGAGAGCACTGCATGCACATGAAACGTTGTATATTAGCAAAGCATAGTTATTTCAAACAATACTGATGCCAGAAGGGCCATTTTTACCCCGTCTACTAGCAAGTACTTGGTCATGTAAGTTTCACATATCTATATATATGTTTAGTCTTTTTTTTTTGCAGCAATTTTGACAAATTGAGTCCATCTAAACAATGGAAATAGGGAATGTTTCCGCACCATCCCAAATTGCAGATTCTTTCTTAACTGGGCATCAGCCACACTGTCTATTGACAAAAGCATCGGACTATCAAACTAATGCAGTTCTAGAATGACAGCATATGCCATCCTGTGAAACTTACATGAAAAGGCATATATTGTTGTCCTTTTGCACTACACAAAATGATCTACATAAAATTTTGTTTAGCTACATTGGTTCCTATCCTTTATCCTTTTAGTTTAATTCTATTTTCTCGCCTTTGCATGAGATAGGAGAAGTCAGCTCACAATTACTAGAATATCGTCCTAAAACTATATGCATCTTCATTTCTCTACCCTACCCATACTTTATGATCCAAATCTATACAATGCATATACATTTAATCCTAAAGCACATTCTTCTGACATAGTGAACTTGCAAGAGCGATTCAATGTACAAATTGACATAAATCTATTCTCTTCTAAAATAAAGCCCACCACACCAACACTGTTGTATAACTTTTTACCAACAACTCATTCATGTGCATTAAGATTACAAAATAGTCCTACATATTTGTTCATCTTATTTCATCTCTAAAATACAAGTTTATCATGCAAAGGGATCTATAGGGACAAACTGTTATGAAAACATTACAATCAATTTGGCTGTATAATTCATACTTATCCATAGCAAAGCGCGGGTATTTAGCTAGTACACAACAAAATTGCAGTGTTCTCACATTCAATACTACTATATGGTTTCACGAGTGTGGGGTTTCAGGATTGTAAAAGGCATCACATCAGGAAATTATTCAAGTTACTTCATACTACAAACCATCCAAAGATGCAGCGCAATCTATCTTTTCTGATAGTACCATAATATCATGTAAAATAAAGGGTAAAGTCCATTTTTAGCGCTCAAACATTGCTCGAAGTCCATTTTTCATTCTCAACTACAGAACTGGTTATTTTTAAACCTTAACATTCAAAACCAGAAAAATGACATCCTAAAAGATACTATTTTCTAGTGGTTATGTTTAAAATGGAAGTGTTTTCCTAGTTAAAGTCTTATTATGCATATTTTGCTAATGTAGAAGTCATTGCATTAGGTCTGTGGCCATGGCAGTGACCAATTTGAAGCACATGTTACTAGAAGCCACTATTATATCATTCAAAACAACCATCAAGTATGGCCTAAGGTGTTATTTTTTTGCTTTTGAAAGTTCAGGATGAATAACGACCGGTTTTGTAGTTCAGGATAAAAAACGGAATTCAAGCAAAGTTCAAGGGCTAAAAATGGAAAATGAATGATGATCGATGCCAAAAGGGATTGTACAACAGTACATAGAATGTAGAAATTTCATGCTGCACATAAAGAACAAGGCAGTGCAAAATAGAAAAGCGAATTACAAGGGGTCCTTGTTACATAAGGCATAAAAAATAGAGAAATTTACTTTTGCCATTTTCACAACAATAATACCATGTTCTCTCTTGTGCCATAAAAAATATCACACTTCTCTCCTTTTTGTCATTACTCCATTAGTATGCATCTTTTGCCATTGCCATCTAGTCAATCTGGGTTAGCTGTCAAATTTTGCCCAACTTAAAATTGTATTGCTGGGATTTTCAATGATTTTTCATTTATGTAAGGGCGTTGTAATCAACTAGAGTTGACTGGATGGCAAAGGCAGAAGAGAGATGGGCACCAACAAAGGAGTGGTAAAAGAGAAGTGCAGAATTTTGATGGCAGAAGAGAGAATACAGTGTCAAAAGCTACAGCCTAGAAGTCTGTAGAGTGAATACAGAGATGAAAAAAGAGCAAACACACTAAACTCAAGCTTAAGTGTGTTGCTATTTCAGTGCAAACTTGAGATAATTGAAGCTTTGTTAAGCTTAAACACTGAACTAAATCAGCTCCCAAAATCAATCAGTACATCATACAGTAACTATCTTACAGAATTTTGTACCAGCAACAAGGTCAATAGCAAGACAGGATGGCATAAACTATGTTAACAATTCTGGCCATAATAATAATCAGTGTTAAGTACTGACCTATATGTCAAACAGTCAAAAGAAAATAATTACAGGTTCACCAAAATTTATACCCATTAAGACGATATCGTTCCTCCACCCAGTGTCATCGCACTGTACTAAAAGTTAGCCACGTTATTTTAAGACAGATTTTATGCTAGTAAACAATAACATATAATTGACATCAAAATTATGATCTTAAGTATGCACTCCCCATAGAAAGAATGGCTCACTGAAGAATTGAAATCCTTCTACTTATTCCTCCAAATGCAACCTTTTCTGTCAATCATTGTATTTAGCCCCAAAAGGGGGCTCTTAACCATCAACGCAAGGGAGGATAATCACAAGGAAATCTCGAACCAAAACCTCACAGGATGCAAGAGACAAGAGAGTCCCACGATTTGTTGAAATCTAGCAATAACCACAAGAGATTCGCGAGCCACCTAAACCTAAGCCACGACACAGTTAGGCAGATCGCGATTGCAAAGCCGCGAGAATCCAGTGACTGACTTGGACACGGTGCAGTCCTCCAGCTGCTTCTCCCCGCCGCCGACCCGCTCCATCTCCTTCCTCCTTCGTCCTTCCCTCCCTCCACGCGGCGCGGTTGCAGAGTGCGGCGGCGGTGGCGGCGGCGGCGGCGCAAGAGGAGGGCGGCGGCGTGGAGAAGACTTAGATGAGAAAAATGGATCCCGGCCCATTAACGCCGGCCCAACTAGAGGAAATACCGCTTCTGCCCTTCTCGCATGAGACGGCCCACGAAAGCCCATCAAGTCGCCTCCTTCCGCCTCTCCCTCTCCCCCTACACGAAACCCTCGATTAAACCCTCGCCTCCCGCCGCCGCACGCCGGAGGCGACCACCACCACCACCAACCCCCGCCGCTCGCCGCCTCCTCCTCTCCCGCGGCATGGACGCCGACTTCCGGTTCGACCCGGACGGCTCCGACGACGACGGGGCGGCGGCCTCGGCGGCCGCGGGGCGGAGGAAGCCGGCGCAGTCGCCGTGGGAGTTCTCGTCCTACGCGGAGTCCGTGGCGGCGGAGCACGCGCGCCGCCGCACCACCTCCATCGACGAGAAGATCTCCCAGGCCCTGAGCGGTAGCCGCCGCGGCGGGAAGCCTTCTATCCCCGACGGTGACTCCGAGGGCGACGAGGATGATTCGGAGGTGGAGGATGATAGTGAGGAGGACGACAAGGAGGTGGTGGAAGGGGAGATCGACGACGAGGAGGACGAGGTTGAGGAGAGCGAGGATGATGACGAGGGGGTAGAGGTGAGCGATGAGGAGGTGGAGGAGTTGGAGGAGGGCAAAGGGGAGGAGAAGAGTGACGAAGTGGAAGAGGGCGAGGAAGGGCAAGATGGGGAAGAGGAGGAGAAAGAGGAAGGAGATGAGGAAGCTGCAGAAGAGGTGAGCCTTGTGGCTGCAATTCCATTCCTCCATTTTTTTCCGCTTAATTTAGCTCCGGATGCGCTACTTGCGCACTATGCTGTCAAATTCAAGTGCAATGTGGTGTCTCATGAACTATTTTCTTGCAATAATCGTGACATGCTTATGCATTGGTATTCGCAGGAAGAAGAAACGGACAAGAAGAGTGGTGTAGTGGACCCTTCTAAATTTTTTGCATCTTCCGAAGGAGCGTCGTTCCATGCAAATTCATTTCTTGAGCTGAACTTGTCAAGGCCACTTCTTCGAGCCTGTGAAGCACTCGGCTACCAAAAACCAACGCCAATCCAGGTTTACAACTGCGAGCTTCTCTTTGCTCATGAATAAGATTGTAAACATGAATACCTTCTTCAGTCCTTCATATATGCTGGACACTCAATACTTTGGAACCATAAAAAAAATGAATGGATGATTATGTTTATTAGGATATTTCTCTTCTGAATGTTGTCGTAACATGTGATTCAAATGCCTTCAAAGGACACACACTGCTTCTTAAGATGTACCTTGGGTCTTTTGAGTGGCTTTGTTAGTTTGGTTTGCAAGTCTTAATATAAAGCTTTCATGTTTATCTTGACCATGAGAATGTATGGTTCACGTAGCGTTAGCTTGACATTAATCTATGTTCCATAGATATCCACATATATCTGTAAGGACTAAGGAGTGGTATCATGAACTATGGTTTCTCGTGTTGTTAAACTCTTTTGTTTTAAGTGAATTCTGTTCCTGTATGCTCTTACTTAGGTGGAAATTGGATTTTGTAACTATAACAGGGCAACCCTAAAAGCATTCAACAGTTAGATTATTTTCTTTTAATTATAGCCAAGATATTTCTCTTGTCAGAATTTGTGCTTCCTTGTCTGCACAACTACTTGCATTTTGATGACGCTCTCAATTAGTGCAACAAAATGGCAAGTCCTGATTGTAGTTTGATACCACATTTTTTTATTATAAATGAGATTCCTTTAATTGGCCAAAAACAGAGGTTTCTGTTATTATTTTCGGTGAAGTAAAATTTTATTTTTAAATAACATAATTCCTTCTTGATGCATATTGGCAGGTTAATTTGGTTGCCAATTTCCTTTATTCTTATTTTCTTTCTTATTCCAGGCTGCATGCATACCATTAGCATTAACTGGACGGGATATATGTGGCAGTGCTATAACAGGATCTGGGAAGGTATATATAATTAACAAAAACTTCCCTTTGGGAGCATTTTGAATCAGTATCTATCTTTAGCTTAATTGAACTCTTTATAGACAGCTGCTTTCTCATTACCTGTGCTGGAACGTCTACTTTTCCGGCCCAAACGTGTACCTGCAATTAGGGTGCTTATCCTTACTCCAACAAGAGAGTTGGCTGCTCAGTAAGTTCTATATATTCAGTTCTTATTGAAACCACTTTGATATTAACTCGTTCCTTCTATTATTTTGTTTCATCATGGCTGAAGCTCCAATAAGGAATTTCCTAAGTTTGCTCTGTTTTATTAGTTTTTTGTTTGAGGTTATTTTTTTTCTGCGCTGTTTTATCAACTAACTAGCAATGTTCTGATGATATGTTCTAATATGTATTTTTCTTGAAGCTATACTTTAGGGATGCTTGCTATTTTTTAATTGTATTTAGGGTATCAGTTTATTTTTATCATTTCAATTTTGTATTTAAAATTGATATATGATTAAAATATCTAATTCCCATTTTCAAATAGTCAAATTTGAATGTTTGAATATCTCTTGCTTGACATTTGTTTTTATAATCACTACTTTTAGGCCTCCTAAAATCGTAGCAACAAAGTTTACTGCACCTCATTTATCTAAGAAGAATATCATATTTCGCATAAAGAGATCCCAAATGAATTGGTTGTAACATTACTCATGGAAAGATCCCAAATGAATTGGTTGTAACATTACTTATGGAAAAACTATCTTAAATGCTGGCATATATCACATGGCGCTTCTCAGTTTTATATTATTACAGTAGTTTTAAGTGTACTTACCATTCATATAACTACAAATGCAGGGTCCATAGTATGATCGAGAAATTAGCTCAATTTACTGATATCAGATGTTGTCTGATTGTTGGTGGACTTTCAACTAAGGTATTGCATTGCATTTTGTTCTATTTGTTTGCTGATCTTCTGCGAGGGACAACCTGTATTTTTTTCCTTGTGTTTTACTCCATAGAAGTAGAACCCCATGTTTTTTTATTACATTTTAGTTATCATCCTGCTTATGGAGCCAACAAAGTTTTAAGGTGTTCAAATGTTATCCATCCATGTACCATTTCCCTTGATAGAAACTTATTTGAATCTGTGATCGGACATAGTAAAAGGAAGAGGGCTGCTTCGGCTCAAACTAAGAGCAGCAGAAGAAATGGAACCGTTTGTCTGTTGTAGTTGCGCTTTTGTCACCGCGTTAAATATGGCTGCTTAAAATCAATGTATTTAGATATTTAACTACAATTAAACAGCGAATGGCCAAGTTTCATATTTGCTAGTGCTATAAGTTTCTATTGAATTTGGAACTATAGCGTCCACTTCTGTGGTAACATGTCTGATTGTTTGCATGCCTTTTTCTATTATCCTTTATTGTATTTTCTGCCTAGTTTCTGGGTTAAATGCTGACAGAATGATGCATACCTTACCAGGTACAAGAGGTAGCTTTAAGGTCAATGCCTGACATTGTTGTAGCTACTCCTGGGCGTATAATAGATCATCTACGCAATTCACTTTCCGTTGGGCTTGAAGATCTTGCAATTTTGATCCTTGATGAGGCTGATCGTTTGCTAGAACTCGGTTTCAGTGCTGAAATTCAGGAACTGGTAACTTCGAAAATTCTCTGCTTTCTATGCACTTTGGCAGTTTGACATTTGGGTCTCAAGGAAATGTTCTTCAAGTGGGTCTGTTGGAAGCAGAGCAGCTGAATTAATGAGATGCTTTTTCATCAGCAGCATGCTGTAGATTAGGCATTGTTCACTGAACATGGTTACAGACTTGCAGCTTTTTTATGCTGATGCAGAAAAACATTGTATAGAAATCAAAAGTATCATACATGTTATTTCATTTTCTTGTTCATCTTCTACATTTGGACAGATAATGAAATTGCGATTAGTCTTTATTTAAATACTGGATAGCTTTCTATTGTTTGGGAGGTATTGCTGGAGATTGGGAATGGAGGCTGTGGAAGTTTGTAGGGCTGAACTGGGTGTTGGGAAAAGGGTATTCAATGGTCAATAGATTCAGAATTAGCCATTTAAATCTTTCTGGGTCCTTATATCTACTCAACTGTCAAACATTCAAAGAATGATTCCGTTGTCATCTATAACTTCAACTTTGGACTTGTGGGTAGTTTCTCTAGAAATAATTGATTTTATCCTTGTTTTCATAAGGGACTCATAATTCTTTTACTGTAATGGGGTTCCATAATAAATGCAGATTCGCATGTGTCCTAGAAGAAGACAGACAATGCTATTTTCTGCTACGATGACAGAAGAAATTAATGAGCTTGTGACACTTTCACTGAACAAACCAGTCCGTCTTGAAGCTGATCCTTCTCTGAAACGGCCTGCAACATTGACAGAAGAGTACACCTTTTTTCCTAAGTCTAAACATTGAGGTTATGTGTGCTGTATTCCATGACTAACAACATCTCCATTTCCTAATTATTTGCTCATCATCAGGGTGGTTAGAATACGAAGAGCACGCGAAGCAAATCAAGAAGCTGTTCTGCTTGCTCTCTGTTTGAAGACTTTCAAGGATAAAGTAATCATTTTCAGGTTAGTGTTCTGGAGGACCTGATTGTAATTTATGGCTTTATTGCTTTTGTCAATGACTCAGTGTAACAGTTCCTCAGTTTTGGGCATTATAAGATGTATAGTTTGGCTTACTACTCTGCTCAGTGCTAACGGAGAGTCCGAGAGTACATTCAGGGTAGCACAATCTAGTGGGAAGCACATGTGTTTCACTGGATTCGATGAATACATGATTGACTCGCTAAGCCCAGCAACAGATGTAGTGCATGTGCATGTGTTCCACCATTCCATAGGAACTATTATCATTTGTCTGCATCACATGTTGACATATAGTTAATGCATGCTTGTGTCATACTATTGCTGTTACTCCTAGACTCCTATTTACTGTCCTACTGCATGTTTGTGTACTGGATGATTCTAGTACTTAATCACATGTATATTTTGTATAATATGTTGATATTCATGTCCCTTTGCAGTGGCACAAAGCATTCTGCTCACAGATTGAAAATAATA